AAACATATTATTTTAAGCTTCCAATCTTTCTAAATATGATGGTAATATTAATATATCTTTAAGTTCATTATCAGAAACATTAATGTGTAAAAGATTCCTGTTTTCTGCAAAAGCACTATTTAATTTTCTTAAATCATAAATTCCACAACCACTTATATCTAAAATTGCTAAAATTCTATTTTTTTTCAATGCTTCTGCCAATTAATTTAAAGCTAATCCAAGTCTATTCCTTTCATTAGAAAATGGATTACCAATATTAAGATGATATAATGTTTGATTGATAGAAAGTGTTTGAAAAAGAACTGCAAAACCTCTAGGACCTATTCCACAATTACATAAAGTCAAACTTACCATTGGAAGTTAAAGATTTTTTATTCCATCATAAAGTGGATTTTGTGAAAGAATAACAAATGGAACATTTTTAACAACTTTATTGATTAAGGGTATACAATTAGCTGGTAAAGATAGCTCTGATAAATCAATGGTATGTCCTTAATATTAACTCAATACTTTTTCTTAAAATCTCACCATTTGGTCTGGTTGTAACTGAATCTTTAATTCTTCACATTTCTTAGTATATAATGTTTCAAGAAGATTATGCATACTAGGAACAAACTTTCTTATTTATGGAGACAATCCTATTTCAATTATCTATGATTAAGCCTTTGAAATGGTAGACATAGGTCTTCTAGAATTTGCACTCTTGACACTTCTCATTTATAATTAATCATGAAGTATATAATCATTTCAGAACACGCTGTTTATTAAGAATGACAAAGTTTTTGCCTTTTGGTTTTCTAATTTATTCATCTTTTTCAGCTTACCATAAAGCACTTGGAGGAACTAAATCCTTTTTCTATTTATCATTTAAAGAGTCATGTAATAAACAAATTATTTCATTCTCATTACTAAAAGTGACATAGCATCTATAACCATTAATTTTGAGTTCATCAAGTTAAACAAAATAGAGTTTCTTTTTATCTGAAATTCCAACAACACATACTTCACCATCATCATCTTAAAATATAAGAACTGGATCTCCATCCAATGTTGTTATATGATCTCTACATTTCAAACAAATATGTCTTTCACCATGATAAGTGACATTAATATTTGGACCACCACATGTAATACAACCTTTATCATAAAGAGCAGCTCTTTATAGTGAATATGGTTCAAATTTAATTGGATTTCCCTTTTCTTCAGGTGCAGCAAATGATTCAATTTATTCATCTACTGTAAGTTTTAATTGATTGCCCATCATCTATAAAGCTTTAGATTTACGTGCTGCTTATACTGCACATCTTCTGCCTTTTGCAATTGCATTTTCAGGAGTAGAAAGTTACACTTAAGCTGTATCTGATCGTGCAATTTTCTTAAAATCAACATATGGCTCAAACATATAATAAAAGAATGAAGGTGCCATTCTATCTGCAACAATAGCAGGTAAAAGATTTTACATTTTTTTGGTTCTTTCTCTTCTCAAATTTTCAAGTTTCTTTCTAATCATTAAATTAATGAATATTCAATCACCATTAAAAACTGATGTGAATATCACAGTTAGAGAAGAGGAAGTGAGACTTAGAATGGGAGAATTCAAGTTCACAGCTTAACAATTATAAAACATCTTTACACTCAATCAAAGAAGAAGGATGTGTGAAGAAATAGACTTCCTTGTATAGCTAGGAGGCTTAGGTATAAGTTATTATATTATAATTTAGATAGTTTATTGGATGGATTATGTACATCTATAAATAGTGGCATAGATAGTAATGATATCAGCAAAAGAACAGAATTATATGGTCATAATAAACGAGTTATTAGACCACCATAAACTTATTGTGAATTATTGATGGATGCAATGGGAGACTTTACTATGAGAATATTGACAGTTGCTGCATTTGCAAGTATTGTTATTTAGGTTGCAACATCTGATGACGAACATAGATCATTAGCTTGGATTGAAGGTTTTGCTATTTTTGTAGCTGTAATTGTATGTACTAATGTTGCTGCTTTGAATGATTACTCAAAAGAAAAGTAATTTCGTAAGTTAAATGCTGTAAGTGAGAAGTCTAAAATTGTAACTATCATTCGTGATGGAAAAGAACATAGAATGCATGAAGAAAATTGTTTGGTTGGTGATATAGTTAAATTAGTAGAAGGTATGGAGATACCAGCTGATGGAATATTGATAGAGGCATCTGAAATAAAAATGGATGAATCATCTATGACAGGAGAAACAAATTCAATTAAAAAAGGAACTATCTAATAATGTTTAATGAAAAAAGAAGAATTGATTAGTGAAGGAGCTGAATTTGGAGAAAAAGATAGATTTCTTATTCCATCTCCAGCTTTATTATCAGGTACTAGAGTTTTAGAAGGTGAAGGAGTTTTTTTAGTTTGTGTTATTGGAGATCTATCATGTTTAGGTTAAATCAAGGCTTCATTAGAATAAGAGGAGGATGAAGAGACACCTTTATAATAAAAATTAACTATTATAGCTGAAGATATTGGAAAATTAGGATTATATGCTGCTATATTGATTGTTATTGTATTAATGATTAGATTGGCTATTGAAAGAGGTATAGAAGGAGAATGGGATCATAGTAAACATTGGATGGAAATACTTAATTTTATTATATTAGGAATTACTGTATTAGCAGTTGCCATTCCTGAAGGATTACCTTTGTCAGTTACAATATCACTAGCATATTCAGTTTAAAAAATGATGAATGATAGAAATTTAGTAAGAAAAATGTATGCTTGTGAAACTATGGGAGGAGCTGATTCTATTTGTTCAGATAAAACAGGAACTTTAACTATGAACAAAATGACACTTACAAAAATGTGGAATTAGAATTATATTGAAGTAAATTATCTGGCTAGAGAATAAGATTTAGGAGTATTTGGTAAAATCAAATAATTGATGATTGAATCTATTTGTTGTAATTCTTCAGCAGAATTGGATCCAGAATAAGGTTCAAAAACTGAAATAGCTTTATTAGAATATATGAGAAAAGGTTAAGTTGATTATAAAAATATAAAAAGTTCAGTAAAATATCTTCAAAAAATACCTTTTAATTCAGGTAGAAAGAGGATGAGTGTAATTGTATCTACTTAAAAGAATGGTTTACCTGTTAATAGATTATATATTAAAGGTGCAAGCGAAATAATAATAAAATGTCTAACTCATCAACATACATTTAATGATGAAATTATTGCTTTATCAGAATAAGATATTAAATAAATAGAAAATATTATAAGTGAAATGGCAAAATAATCACTTAGAACTATATGTGTTGCTTACAGAGATTTAAATGGAAGTGAAGATTTAGTTAGTAATGATGGAAAAGTGTATTAAATTGAAAAAAATAATTTAACTTTCTTGTGTCTTTTAGGAATTATGGATAATTTAAGAGAGGGAGTAAAAGATGCAGTTACTCAATGCAAAAAAGCAGGTATAAAAGTTAGAATGGTTACAGGTGATAATTCTGAAACTGCAAGAGCTATAGCATTATCATGTGGAATTATTGAACCAGGAGATAGTAAAGCATTAGTAATGGAAGGTGCTGAATTTATGAATAAAATAGGAGGAGTAGTATGTAAGAATTGTCAAACAGAATCTTGTAAATGTGCTAGAACTTAAAGTGAAGCTGAAAAAAATGGAACTTAATTAAGAATTGATACTCTTGGTGATATGGGAATATTTAAAACATTATATCCATAAATAGCAGTTTTAGCAAGATCTAGACCTACTGATAAATATGCTATGATTGTTGGACTAAAGGAATGTGAACATATTGTTGCTGTAACTGGTGATGGTACAAATGATGCACCTGCATTAAAAAAGGCAGATGTAGGATTTGCAATGGGAATCTCAGGAACTCAAGTTGCTAAAGATGCAGCTGCAATTATTCTTATGGAAGACAATTTTAGTGATATTGTAAAAGCTGTTATGTGGGGTAGAAATATATTCCAATCTATTCGTAAATTCCTTTAATTTTAATTGACTGTAAATGTAGTAGCTGTTGGATTGACTTTAATTGTTTCAGCTGTACTTAAATAAGAAGTTCTTAAACCTATTTAAATGTTATGGGTCAATTTAATTATGGATTCTTTTGCTTCATTAGCTTTAGCTACAGAACCTCCAAGTCCTGTTTTATTAAATGATAAACCTTATTCAAGAGCATAATCTATAATTACAAGAAAAATGTTAAAACATATATTTGGTTAAGCAGCATTTTAAATTGCTATTATGTTAATTGCAGTATTTTTAGCTCCTGATTTTGTTCCTGAATATAAAGATGAATTTGATGATAGAATCAATGAATGGTTAAATGATAAAAATTTAAATTAATTTCCATCAGATTTAGATCACCCAAAATATAATTTAGATTATTATCCTGAATAATTAATGATTAGAAGTGGTAGAATGTTAACTGTTGAAGGTGAGGATGATTATGAACCTGTCTATAGAGAATTTATGGTTCCTAGTAGACATTTCACTTTTATTTTCAATATGTTTGTTATGATGCAATTATTTAATTTCTTAAATAGTAGAAAATTGAATGATGAATTCAATATATTCTAGAATATTGGCAATAAGTATTATAAATAATTTATTATAGTTCTCTATTTATAATAATTGTATTCTTTATTTTTGCTCTCCAAATAATTTTGATAACTTTTGCAGGAATAGCATTTTCCTGTTACACATACTATGGTTTAACAATTCAATAATGGTTGATTAGTATACTAATTGGATCTTTTGGATGGATTGTTAGTGCTCTATTAAAATTAATTCCAGAATAAGCAGTAAATATAAACAATATAATAATTATTTAGATATGTCCAGAATCTATTGAATAACCCTCCTAATAAGAAGAATAACGAAAGCCTTCTGGTGTTTTGGAATTGCGTCGTGGTTCCTCAATTAGACGTTCATAAAGACAACATGAGATTTAACTTTGATATTCAATAATAAATTTATCATTATAAAAATGTCAAAATATTAAACAGAATTTAGTGATATCAAATCAAAATCTTTGCTGTTACCATAAATCAAATAACCACATACTATTATCACTGCTGCTGAACTCGAATAAATAAAATCTCATATTACATTTACAGAATAAAAAGCAAAGAAAGTATAACTTATTATATTATTTGTTCAGAGTTATGACAGTCAAAAGGTTTGGGCTTAACGTATTGAGAAATAGAGACAGTAGAAGGAAAAAGAGAAGTTCTAAAAATTCATATTAGAAGAAGAAGAAAGACGAAAGATTGATAGAGAAGAAGCAGATTATTAAGAAAAATTAAAAATTAATTAAATAGGAGATGCTAATAATAAAATATTTGGATAAAGAGCTGAGTATTATATTATGAATTATATTTAAGTGTGAGAAACATGAAATCTAAAATGTTATGGTCAGAGATAGACAAAGCAAATTAGAAACTTATTTAGTTAAATAAAGAGAAATAAGAAATGTAATTAATGTATGAAGCATAAAAAACAAGAGAAATTGAAACATAAAAATATATATCAGAATAAGTAGAATTAGAAAAAAGTTAATTAAAAGAGTAATTGAAAAAATAAACTTATGATTCTTTAGCTAAATAACATCATGAAGTAAAAGAGAGATATCTTAAGGAATATATTTAACTTAAAAAAGAAGGTGATATAATAAAGAAATAAGCAGAAGAAGAAGAATTGAAGAAAGAGTAAAATTTATTGGTAATACAATTTTAGAAAACAAAAAGAAGATGATAAAATTAAAAAGTAAAAATTATTAGCTGAACATTAACAATTACTTTAAATTAAATAAAAAATTTAATAAGATGAATAGAAATTAGATGAGAATCAATCAAAAGAAAGAGATTAATATCAATAATAAAAAGATAGAGTTTTAGAAATGAGAAAAGAAAGAGTAATTTTTAATTATTTAAATAGGAAATAGAAAAGAAACAAAGATAATTAAAAATTAGACAATAGATTTATGATATAAGAGTTACACAATTAAAAAAATAAGAAGATGATTATATGTAAAGAGTATAAAAACATGCAGAAGAATTATAAAAGCATGATGAAGAAGTAGCAAAATAAAAAGAATTAGAAAAATCATAAATGATCTAAGAAGGAGAATAATTTAGATTATAATAATTAAAATTGAAAGAAAAATAAAAAGAAAAGGAATAATAAGAATTATAATAAGAACATAAATTAAAAATAAGTGCTTTAGAATAATTATCTACTGTAGAGGATCAATAAAAAGAAATATTGAAAAGAAGAAATAAAGAAGTTCAAGAATATCAAAAAATGCAAATTGTATTTATTATCTATATATATATAAAGGAACTTAAAAAATAAATGAGAAGAAATCAATTTTTAAATGAATTAAAAGAATCAAAATAAATGGAACTTAGATCATAAATAGAAAAAGATGCTTTTAACAATTGGGCATAATCTTAGATTACAGAACTTAAGGAATCAGGATTAAATTTATATCCATTAACAAAATCATTTAAAGTATGAAATTGATAAGAGTTATTAATAATAAAATAATAACTATAAGTAATCAACATTGCTCACTCTCCTTTCTACTTGTACTATTAGACATCAACAATTATTCAAATCTATCCTATTTTCTACAAATTGATATAAATATTTTTAAACGACTATTTATTTTATTTAATCAATACCTTTTACAACTATTCACTACTAAATCATCTCTTTTAAAATTTAGTTTCCTTCCAAAAATTTTATAAAGATGATGAAATCTTTATAAATCGAATCTAATAGATTAATCTAGTTTTTCTAAAAATTAACTTTCTAAATATACTTGGATGCAAAGGAACCATTAGTTTTAATTCTTTAAATTACTTTTCTACAAATTCCCTCTATTCTACAAGATCAATACATTCATTATGTAAAAACTAACATTTAGGTCCAAAACAACAAAACCCACTAAAATAGCGTTTACATGGCTTAGTCTTAGTACAAGCTGTTGAATAAATGTTGTTTTCAGTTTTTGCGGGTGTATGAATAAAAAAACACTAATTAAGATTTAAACAAAATTACTTGATCTCCATATTTACAATTACCATTAATTTAGTAATTTCGGCAAAAGTCCTTCTTCTTTTTAAGAGGTTCCTCCTCTTAATAGCATTTTTTGTATCTAAATTTTCGCTAGACAATCTCGAAAGATTCTTCAGAATTTTAATCAGACAGATTTTCAATTGAATGATCAGTGCTATTTGATTAATGATCTATGATTGAATTGTGAGCCATAAGTTTTTAAAAACAAATTATAATTTATAAATTTCTGAAGAAAAAAAGGAGCAAAAAAATTATTAATTATAGTTAAAATATATATTTATAACAAAAAATTCCTCTCAAAAATATTCAAATAAATAGAATTTTCTAAACTATCACTCATATTAAAGCAATATTCCCAATTAAATAATCAATCAAGTTTTGAATAATGAATCTGAATATCTAAATGATTAAATGGAACAGATAGATCTAAAAATCTTGTAATAACAATACAATTTCAAATAAAAGTTTACAGTATTCTTAAATGAGTTTATTATATTTTTTGATGAATCAATTTATCAAAAAAACTAAAGGATTTGAGATTGGTGGAATTAATTTATAATCTAACAATAAATTAGTTATAAGGATATATAAAATGACTTAGATTTGTAATAAACAATATTTTAGGATTACTATGAAATGGTATTTTTATAAATTCAAGATTGAATAAGATATTATTTATTAGAAATTAAAAAGTGAAAGCTTTAATCAATAAAATTTTCGTAAAAATATTACCAATGTAGATAAATTTGTATTCAAATCCTAATTCACATTTTTTATGAATTTATAAATGGATATTCTTTATTTAAATTAGAATCCATTTGAATTTTCAACAAAATTATAAATAACCATTAAATAACTAAAGACAATAAATAAGGATTTAAAAAGGAGTTTGCAAAATAAATAAAATAAATCATTCATTTAAGTATAACTCACTTGTATGGCCATTTGATTATTAAGTTGAAGTAAAAAATAATAAATCAAAAAAATGATTAAATGATTTTATTCAATATAAACTACTTAAAATAATATTATAATTAAAGATCTATTAATTTATATCAATCAACTTATTAAATAAATATGTATTTTATTGAATTAACTTTGTAGAATTATTTAGAAGTACATAATATTTATTAGTGATAGATATTCATTATTTTTAAGCATGTAAAGTATGTGAATGATAATGGTTATAAATGAATAGTGAAATTGCATATTCTAATTTATCTTATATAAAAGGATTATTAGTAATTTTATAATTGATATATTTATAAATGTAAGTTTCAATAGAGATTGCAACTTGGACTTAAAATAATCATGGTCTGTTTGACTATGAATCAAAAGACCTAAAGATTTCTAAAATCATAGTAGAAAATTCAATGTACTTAATTCTTAATAGTATTATTTTTTTGTTTATTTTTCAATTAGAAGATGTAGTTGAATAGTCAAAAATACAAAATGAAAAGTGTATAGGGAAGATAAATTTTGAGAATGGTTAAATATGTATTAATGATAATGAAATTAGATTATTATAGCAATCCAAAATTTATAGACTCATATGTGAAATTGGACCCTAGATATAAATAGTAGTTATAAGTTGGAGAATTGTTTAAATTTGGAAGAATGTAAAAAACATATAAATAATGTAGTGAATATTTCATATCGGAACTAAATATTGGAGATAAGGTTTAGATTGCAGAAGACCATTATAATTTAGATCGTCATATTAAATCTGATAAGAACAAAGTAACTAGATAATGCAAATTTTGTTTAATGGAAGATTTGGAATAGGTTGAAGATCCAGCTAATCCATATCTTACTAATTTGTGTGGTTGTTAAGGTCACATGTCCTATGTTCATTATTAATGCTTAAAGTTATGGATTAACTTTAATAATCGCATAACTCGTAAATAAACTTAAAACACAGTATAGTATAATTGGAATCAAGCATTAGAATGCGAAGTATTATTATTATGAGTCATACAGATATGTAAAGTACCTTTGCCAGCAAGAGTTTATATTGAGAATTAAAAATAACCACTTCAATTGATTTAAGTAGATAAAATGGATGGATCATACATAATTCTTGAATAGATAACTCGTTAAGATAATTTATCAAAAAGTTTAATTTTTATACATGCCTTTGGAACTAATTTGATATCAATTGGTCGAGGACATATTAGTGAAGTGAGATGTTAGGATATATCAGTATCTAGAAATCATGCTCATATTTCATTTAATAATGATAATTGGTGGATTTAGGATTAGAAAAGTAAATTTGGAACTTTGAGAATAATACCTGATAAATTATTAATAGATGATGAAGTTAAAGAAATTTAAATAGGTAGAATTTTACTAAAGATTAAATTAATTTGATATATGAAAAACTTTATCAAAAATAATTTTTGTTATTTAAAATAAATATTTAATTAATGATAAAATAGATAAATTGTAAACATTATAAAAGAAATTGTGATAAGAAAGCTCCATGCTGTTAAATATATTATCCTTGTAGATTATGTCATGATTAAAATTACAAAGGACCTAAATCTGATGGATGCAGAGTTGAAACTATGGATAGATATAATGTTAAAGAAATTCGTTGTAGATCTTGTTTAACAGAATAACCACCTTCTAATTTATGCAATAATTGTGGAATTTAATTTGCAAGATACTATTGTGAAATATGCAAATTATATGAGGATGATAAAAAAAAAAATATATTTCATTGTGAATAATGTAAAATGTGTAGATTAGGAAAGAGAGAAGAATTTTTTCATTGTGAAAAATGTGATGTTTGTTTAGCTATTTCAATAAAACCTTAACATAATTGTATTGAAAAAGCTTTTGAATAAAATTGTGCTGTTTGTATGGATTATCTCAAAAATTCAACTTAATTAATATAATAATTCACTAATTGTCCTCATTTTATTCATGTAAAATGTTTGGAAAAAATGCTAAAGAAGGGCTTATATAATTGTCCCAATTGCAATGTCGCAATATATGTATATAAGTATTTGATTAAGATAGAAAATGACTTAAAAAGAAATCTAATATCTGGATTAGATTAATGAGGATATGAAGAATGAATTAAGTGAAGAATAATTAAAATAAGTTGTAGACATAATATGTTCTGATTGCTAAGCCAAAAGCAGTGTCTAATTTAACATTTATTTAAAATGTTAAAGTTGTGGCTCATATAATACTAAAAAATGATACATTATAACCTTATATTAATAATTATGTTCAATTTATAATAATATTGTTTTCTACTTATAAAAGATTTTACTTTTACTTTTTTAATTTATACATATCTCTTTATCACTTATATAATCTAATTTAATATGTTTATTTAATCATCTTTTATTATTTTTATTTAAACAATTTATTATATGAATTTAGATAATAATATAGATAGTTAAAAGTTAATCTATAACTTTAAAAAATACCTTTTATTATGAGATGTATTAAAATTAAATTAAATTTAATATAATCTTATATAATATAATATTTGATTTTCAGGCAATTATTTAAATATGAATTAAATTTAATAAGACACTGAATAGCCAAGTTCAAAATTGAATTAGTTAATCTTAACTGATGAACCTATTGGTGAAATTCAGGATTTCCTTAATTATTCACTATCAGAAGGCAATTTTTCAATACAAGGTTCAAAAATTCAAAGCAATCATAATTAGAATAGTCAAAGTTCCTAGTAAAAAGCTCATGAAGGCAAAAGAGTTTAATTTGATTCGACTCTTAATAGTCCATCTACTCAATTTCTAGTTAATAGAAAGAGCATTAGACTCTCTGAAACTCCTCAACAATTACATCAATAATAACAAATATACAGTGTTATTTAATTTTGCTTTATTAAGAGATTCATAAATCGAATAAGTTGGAAAAAGAAAATAAATGCATAATTTAATTTCTATTAATATAGAATAATTAAAGATTTAGGTTCATCATTCAATTTGAAACTTTTTAGAGATAGTGCTCTTAATCTTAAACCTATGATTAGTCAATTTAGTAATTCTCATGATAATTTAAATTAGAGTCTGAAAAAGAAGTAATGATCATAAAATTATTAGTCCTAGAGAATTTACAGCAAAATTATCAAAACATTATTCTTAATTAAAAACTTGTACTAATAATTTATACAAGAAAATAGAATCAGAATTAGAAAAGATACCTTTAATTACTCCAGAATCTAGATTAAAAATAGTATGGGATTGTGTTGTAATGATAAGTAGATTATATTTTCTATTTACAATTCCTTTGGATTTAGCTTGGAATTAATAATAAATAATTTATGGTCAATTATTTACACCTACTATTTTAATGATAATGTTATTAGTAATAGATTTCATTTTAAGTTTTAATAATTCATTTTATCAATTTGGATAAATAGTTAGTAATAGAGCAACAATAGCTAAAAATGTAATTAGTAAAAGCTATGGTTTAGAAGCTATTTCAATACTTATTTTGGTTATTTATGCAATAATTTTTAATTCATCAAAACATGGATTTAATCTTATGAATTAATGGTGGGATTTATTAATGTTGTTATTTTATGTACAATGTAGAAATATTCCAAAATTAATCAGTTAAATAGAAGAGACATTAAATTTATCCAAACCAAGTAGTTCATTATTAGAATTATTAAAATTATTGTTAGTTTTATTCTTTGTTTTACATTGTTTTTCATGTCTTTGGTATTTTGTAATTTATAATATTAATAAATTATTAGGTTGGATATTATAGTTAATTGTACTCAGAGAAAGGATGTTGGTTAGAATTTTATCATATTTAGAATGAAACTTGGTCTGTTTAATATTTATATTCATTTTATTTTTCTACTGTCACAATGTTCACTATAGGTTATGGAGATGTTGTACCTATTAGTTATTTAGAAAGAATTGTTGCTATTCTATATATGATGATTTGTAGTATTCAATTAAGTTACAGTGTAAGTACTGTAGGAGCTATTATTGATACAATATCTGCTTATGGATAAGAGAAAATGAGAAAGATGAGAAAGATAAACACTTATATGTAAAATAGAAAAATAGAATATTAATTATAATATTAAATTAGAGAATATTTAAATTATTATTGGGAATCATAAAATTAAGTAGAAAATGATGAATTAAATGAGATTATAAATTAATTATCAGAAAATTTAAAAGAAAAATTAATGAATTAATCAAATTCAATGATTTTAAATGAATGTCCTTTATTTAAAAATAATTTTAGTGATGCTTTAAAATCTAAATTGGTTCATAAAATAAAACCAGCAGTTATATAACCAGAAAATATAATAAATTTTGATTCAATATTCCCATAATTACCTTCAGGTTAATTATATGTATGTTTTGTTGAATTTGGAGATATTTAAATATTCATTTAGAATGATTAAATTGATTAAATTTTAGAAAATCCATAGATTGCAGAAGTTAGCAAAGTTGGTAAAGGTTCAAGTTTAGGTATTATAAGTTTTATTAGTGGGAAATAATCATAAGAAAGATTTAGAAGTATAGGATTTTCTAAATTATTGATGTTATCTAGAGATGACTTTTTAAAAATTATATAAGATTTTCCAGAAGATTATGAAAGATTTAGAAATTTATATGATAGTATATAATTTGAAGATATGAGTGCATTACATATGAAATGTTTTAGTTGTAATTCAAGTTATCATAGAGTTCTTTAATGTCCTTTATTACATTATATTCCTGATAGAGAATTAATTATTAAAAGACATTAATTTAGTAATCATTAAATAAGAAATTAACATTTTTTAAGAAATCCATATCGTCAAAAAGGATATTTTGCAGCTAGATATGATTAAGAAGTAATTGAATAAGAGGCATCATCATTTAATAATAATAATTGGAAATGGGCTGAATTTTATGAGGAACCTGATGATGAAATATTAAAAAAAAGTGATGTTTAAAATAATTAAGCTAATCTTGAATAAAGTAGTTCTAATCTATAATTTATTAATTAACCTTAATTCTAATAAATATCTAATTCAACTACTTTCTTTTCTGTATTAGATCAATCTTCAAAATTAAATTTAGAACCTCCTATTATAAAAAAGAAAACAACTCTATTCAAATAAAGAACAAGAACTATTGAATAAATGGATATAGATGATTAATCAATGAAAGCATCTTTAATGAGTAAAGCCAGAAATAATCTTATGATAATTAAAGAAGAAGAATAATTTAAAAGTTCTACTTTTCGTAAATATTAAAAAATGAAACCTTCTGTTACTATTGAATTTAATTAAAATAGAGTTAAAGAGAATATTTTAAAATTAAAAAAGGTTGTTAAAGTAATTACAAATATGTATAGAATGAAAAAAAGATAAAAATTAAAAAAGGAAACTAAATCCATATTAAATTCATTTTTAGATATTATTTAAACTTAAATGTCTTTAAAAGGAGTATTAAATAAAGTTAGAATTCGATTAAAATAAATATAAGATGGTAAAAAATAAATTTTATCAGAAAAAGATATTGCAGATACTATGATTTTGGAAATTAAATTAAAAATGTAAATTAACCTATTAAATGAATATTAAAAGAAAGATTAATAATTAGTGATGGAATCATATAAAAAGTTTAAACATTATTAAATTTAAAATAATTTAGATTCAATATTAGAAAGAATGTATTTCTATAAATAGTAGCATCTATTGAATCATTAATTAATAGATAATCAATCTTAATTATTGAAATATATGATTTATCCTGAAATATTCTTTGAAAAATATAGGTATCAATAAATCATTGTTCCTAAATTCGATATCACTGAATCAGGTAGAGATTCTGGTCTTGAGTCTGAACATACTTTAAGACGTAGTAAATTGCTTAAAAAAAGTTTTAGAAATGTGAAATCATCTTAAGTGAGACCTGTCTCAGAAGGAACAGGAAAAATTCAATTTTGAATTATTTATCATATATCAATTTCTATGAAATTACTTACTCAAAACTTATACAAAGCAACAATTTATTAGTAAATTAGAAAAATTTAAAAAAACTATTTTATATTTATATATATATATATATTAATTCAAATTTAAAAAATGGAAGAACATTATGAAAAATTGAATATTTTAGGCAAAGGGTCTTTTGGAGTAGTTTATAAAGTCATGAGGAAAAGTGATTAAAAAATACTTGCTTGTAAAGAATTACATTATGGAATTATGACTGAAAAAGAAAAGAATTAATTAGTTAATGAAGTTAATATATTAAGAGAATTAACACATTCTAATATTGTTTAATATTATGAAAGGTATTAAAATTATTGAATTAATAAGAATTATTGATAAAAAATAAGCTAAAATTTATATCATCACTGAATACTGTTCTGGAGGGGATCTGAGTTAATTACTTAAGAAATGCAAAAAGGATAAAGATTATATTGCAGAAGATGTAATATGGAAAATATTCACATAATTATCTTTGGCTATTAATGAATGTCATAATAGAACACCTAAAATATTACATAGAGATGTTAAGCCTGCTAATATATTCTTAGATGAAAATAACAATATAAAACTTGGAGATTTTGGATTATCAAGAATTTTAGGTGAGAACTCTTAATTTTGCAAAACTCATGTTGGAACACCTTATTATATGTCTCCAGAATAAATTACTGAAGCCTATTATGATGAAAGTAGTGATATATGGTCTTGTGGATGTTTGCTTTACGAATTGGCAGCCTTAAAACCTCCATTTGAAGCAACAAATCATTTGAGTTTAGCTATAAAAATAAAAAGTGGTTAATTTGATAGAATCCCTTTAAGATTTTCTGAGGATTTACATCAATTAATTACTTCAATGCTTGATGCTGGTTATAATTAATATTTATTATTGTAGATCCATCTAAAAGACCTAGTGTTATGGAGATTCTTAAATTACCATTAATTAGTTTAAGGATTAAGGAGAAAAAGTTAAAAGAAAAACATGCTTAAATAAAATTGAAAGAAGAAGAGCTTCGATAGAAAGAATAATAATTAAAGATGTGGGAATAAAGCTTGATTAAATAAATTAATTGATGAGCAAATCCCAAATTATGATCTTAATAATTAATTTTATGTATGAATTTATTAAAAATTAGAATTTATATATTAATTAATTATTCTTTTATTTAAAAATGAACAAAATTATTTTTTAGATGAAAAGCTATTATGTTCAAGAATTTTTGAATGCCAAAGAAACATGGAGGAAATCTTTTAAAATATCTGTTGTGATTTTGTTGATTGAGAATATTCAAATGTTATCAATATATACATATAAACTAAATGAGTTTGAATATGATTAGTTTTTAAACCATATAAGAAATTTCATAGATTACTTTAGGTTAAGTTATTTTATATATATTAGATTTTACACAATAATTGGAAATTCAATCAACCTTAGAATAATATTTGTTATTCTTGGATTTCTATTGTAAAGCCTATTCATTTTACTACTGCTATGTTAGATTTTCAAATTGAAAGTGGTTATGATGAAAAATTAAGGCCTTTAATTTTTGGCAATTGAATAAGTAAAACTAAAAATAACTAAATTAGAATCTTGAAACAAAAGTTGAATAGAATCATCTAATAAATATTATTTTGTCTTTCTTTTTTTAGATTCATCATGGAATTTTGTAAATCCCATTACTATTTTGTGGATTCAGTTTAGTTACTGAATTATTCAATTTTTGTATTAATTAAAAATATTTAGAAAACTATTATTATTTTGAATTAATAGGGTTCATTTTTGGGATAATGACTATTGGTTAACAAATAACAATAGGATTATTTATAAATTTGCATTAATTTGATCATAGAATGAAGAATTTTGATTATTTAGGAAAATTTTAATCATAAAAATTGCATTTACTTTATGCATTTTAATTAATGTATATTTATATAATAATTAGTAATTTAGAGTTTTATTTATATCTGGTATTTAAGCATCAATTTTACTTGTTTAATTGTTTGGAATAATAAAATCAGTAATTCAAATACTTTGTGACTACAATTAATAAATTTATATTGATTATAGGATTTCAAGATTAAATTTAAGAATTGTTGTTTTTACAATAATTTATTAATTGGTATTGATAATATGTCAATATGGTTAACCAACCTTAAAGATAAGCATAGTTTTATTAATATTATTATGTTATCCTCCATTAATATTTTTGACAAATGAAATATTAAATAGATAAGATATAAAAAATACTAATTATTAGACTAGAAATTTAGAGAAATACATAAGAAGATTGTACATTATATTTAAACAATAAGTGGAATTGAAAAAACAATAAAGACTACTTGATCCAAAATAATCTTTAGAAATTTACACATTTATATCAAGTCATTTGAGAGAATGTTAAATGTAAAGAGAAAGAAAGATGTTAAAAAATATCAAACTTAAATATAAGTGTTTTTGTTAAGATTTCTTTACTTAAATGGATTCCTTTTAAAATTTAGAGTCAATGAAATAATTTGCTAAAGGTTTAATTGGATAAACACTTGAAGATGAGATTATTGAAAAACCAAATACTAATTTAATTTTAATTTATATATACTTTTTAGTTTAAATTAAGAAAGTGCCAACTTAAGCAATTTATGAAGTTATTAGATTTTCAATGATTGAAAAAGTATATATTTAATTTATAAAAATTATTAGGAATAACCTTTAAAATAATACGCTATTATAAATAAATTAAAATAGGATGCTTTATAAAAATTTAGTGATCTAGTTAAAAAAAATGATTTAGTAAATTAAAAGTTTGTTTTTAAGAAAGTTTACCAATATGAAGAATCATTGAATGTTTTAAAATCGAATTTATGTTTAGTTGTAAAGTAAGAAAAGGTATATCATTTAAATATAGAAGGACTTTTATGGTTGTATTCTTACATAAATTATTGATATGGATATGCTTTTAGATATAGGATTTAAATTAATAAAAAATATTAAAATCCTTGAGAATTAATTTTAATTATTATTTAAAACAAATCCTTAAAATAATGAATGTGATACAATTTTTAACATTTTTCATAAATATGTCAATTATAATAAAATAAGACCAAAATTATATAGAAGAGAAGGTTAAATAATGATGCAATTTTTATAATCAGCAGAAAAGATAATTTATGATCCAGGAAGTTGTGTGATATAAATTACTTTATTATAACCAAGAGGAAATGTAATTAGATACACTAGATCATTTTAAAAAGCAATAGGATTTTAAGATGAAGAGATATAAAATCAAAATATAAATAGATTTATGCCTTAAATAATAGCAAATGATCATGATTTATATTTGGATAATTTTGTTGAGAGAGGAAGAATAAATGTAGTTAGAAGTGCTGTAAGAGTAATATTAGGAAAGACTAAATCTTAATTTGTAGTTCCTATAAATACTAGATTAAGAATAGAGGCAAGTCCAACTGAATTTGGAGCTACTGCTCTAATTACACCTGTAAATTTAACATATGGATATATGATGTTAAATGAATAAGGATAAATTGAAGAATTAACATAGAATTTATTTGAGAATGTTTTTGAGAAACATTTGGGATTAGAACTTAATTAACTAAAAGGATTAGATTGTTTATTTTTTATTCCTGAATTAGCAAAAATATGGGATAATTTATTTGATGATCATTTTGATAAATTAGACAAAAGATTTGATTGTTAATTAATTCTTCCATTGATTACTAAATAAATGAGTAAGAGTCTTATACGTTCAAGATCTAATATATTTTCTAGAACAAATATTCAATAAAATATAGCTAAATAATTTGACAGTCTACCTCATGATAATGTTGTTTATTAAGTTTCTATACATTTAATGAGTTTAATAACTATAAATCTTAGGTAAATTATATAATTAATATATTTAGATTAGTAATTGTTGAAATACCTGAATATAGACAATTAATGAATTAAAAGATATCTAGTAGATAATTAGTTTTATTAAGAAATAGATCATCATAATTAATTAATTTATCTTCATAAAATGAAATACCAACTTAAAAAACAGATCTTGTATTATCATCTTTGAATTCTCCTCCTGGAGGTATTCTAAATGAATGTGATTTAGAATATGAAAATTTAATAGAAGATATTAAAATGATAGAAGATTTAAGAAATTAATTAGCAACTGTTAATATTAATAGTACAACTCAAAATAATCAAAAAGATCCATTTTTATTATAAAATAGTGATAATTAACTTGAAGGTAGAATAATTGAATTTTAAAATGATCCTTCAGAAAAGAGTAATGATTTTAGTGAAGCAGAATCTGATTTTAAAGATCATGCATAAGATCAAAATATATAATATAATAATGGTTCAGTAGGAAGTCGATCATCTTAAAATAATACAACAGCACTTAAAAGGTAAATTAAAGATTGTTTATCTGATTCAAAGGGATTAAGTTTAAGAACAAAATTGTTTCTATTATTAATTTATGTATTAATATTATCAGGATTTTTGATTAATTTTCTGATATTGTATTTTAATTTTGAGAAGATTCATGAAAATTAAAATTATGAAAATTTACCATTTTAATTTTCATATTATTATAATGAATTCATTATTGATTAATCATATTTAGATGAAGATTAATTTAATTTTAATGAATTAAGTAAAATAGCATTTCAATATTTCCTAATTAATATAAAAAATATTGATAAAACTATTGCTTTATTACCACATATTAATATAGTCAGTAATCTAACTATGGAAAGTAGAATATTAAATATTATGTCACAATTAACTAAAGTTTTAAATATGAATGATTCAATAAATTATAATGAATATTATAATAATACTGATGCATTCAATATTTAGATTACTGAAATTGAGAATACTGATTCAACAAAACACTTACTTAGTTTATCAATTTTGTAATTTATTTATTATTAAATCTTAGTGTAATTGTAGAATAGATAATCTTATTAATTTTACTTGGATAATATATTTATTTATGTTTTCAAATAATATAAATGAAATAAAAAATTTACAAATTATTTTGTACTTTTTCTAAAGAAGTTATTTAAGAATAATTTGTTTAATTCAGTTCCTTATATACTTAATTAAATAACACTAGATTTAGAAATCATGAAACAGATGAAGAATAATTTGAAACTACAATGATGCGTTAATATTAAAAAACAGTAACATCTAATATGTTAGATAAACATAATAGAGTTGGTAAATAAATTTCATTAAAATGTATGTTATTTATATTATTATTATAGAAACTAATTCAGCATAAATCTTTTTCTTCTTATTCATATTTATATATGCCTTTATATGTTCATGTTATTTTGTTGGAAGTTTTATCTTATAATAAATTACATAATAAAATGTATCTGCAAGATATCAAGAAAAGACATCCTTTTCAATAACCTTTAATTCTTTAGTATCTACTTATGCTTAATAAACAATCCTCTTAAATAATATAATTGCATCTGACATGATTGAGTATTATGATGTTGCTGTAAAATAATTAGGATCATTAACTACTAATCTCTCTTTATACTAAGAAGATCAAAACTATTAAGTTTATGAAATTTTAGTTGAAAATTTATGTGGGTTATTTTTGAGTGATTTGTAAAAATATTAAATTAGTGTAGGTCTTATAGTTATGAAGATTTTTAGAATCTTTTTACTCTTTAATAGTGTTAATCTATTTCTATTCTTGGAAAAGGATTAAGTTCAGTTGTTTAAGATTTATATTCACATTAATTTGATTTCCTATAAGCAATTTCTATAAGTGGATTAAATGCAACCTTGAAAGAATCATATAGAGATTCATAAATTTAAATTTAAAGATTATATGCATAATATGGATTTTAAGTAATTATTGAATTGCTTACAAATTAAATCAAATCTTTGATAGATTCTACATTTTTAATTAATACAGTAATGTTTGGTTTTGCTTGTATAATAATGAGTATATCATTAATTGCAACTAAGATATCAATTGAAAAAGTTAAATTATAATATTAAGAAAGTAAGCAACTATTAACATTATTTCCATTTGATAGATTAATGGAGAATGCTTATGTAATTAGTTTTATTACTCATGATTTGCATTTTTCAGTCTGAATTAATAAGCTATATATAACTTAAAAAATTAAATTTAATTTAATTCTCTACTAAAAATTTTTCTAATTTTTATTTTTTTTATAAAGAAAATAATTATAGAGATCTCATCTCTTTTGTATTGAAATTATTTGATTGAATAATCTTTGTTTTTTTTTATAAATATATTAATCATTATGATAGATTGAAAGGTTATGAATTGTTTTTTCAATAAAAATTGATTTTTTACAGAATTATTAATACATAGATGTCTTAATTTATGAAAGGTAAACATCAATTAAAATCTAATTAGGTTTATCAAAATGTGACATATTTGGTCAAACAATTACATTAAGAATGAATAAATAAAATTTTTATAAGACTGCATTTGGAGGATGTGTATCACTAGTTTTATTTTTTACAATGCTGTTGATTTTTTCTCAAAATTTAATCTCATTTTTGAATAAAGAAAATTTGACTGCAACAGTGTTAACAACATTTGAAGAATTTCCATCTTTGGCTACATTAAATGATGATACTTTTGCATTTGCTATTCAAATTGAATAAAGTGATTTTATTTAGAATCCCTATTTTAACATTAAAGTTGAATAGAAACATACTACTAGATTTTTAAATGGGTCAAAAATAGAAAATACTTAACAACTTGTTCTAATTCCATGCACACTAGATAGATTTACCAATATTTTTAGTAAATATGATGTTAATATAACAAAATAATTTTATGATTTGGATCTATAGAATTTCTTATGCTTCGAGTAAATAATATAAATTACTTTAGTTATAATTCAACATTTACTATTCAAGGTACTAATTCAAGTAATTATTATGAAATAATTTAAAGATTAACAATTTTGGTATTTGAAAATTTCAGTAAATAATTGTATTACAAATAAATCATGTGCTTCAGAGATTCAACGATAAAATGAAATTGAAAAAAATGGCTCATTTAAATTAAGACTTTATACAGTTAATTAAGTTTAATAAATTTCTTTATTTTTTAGATATTAAATCCTTAAAATCCAGATGATTAATATTTATAAACATTTATAGATGATTCATTTTACCTTAAATTTTTACCATCAGATGTGTTTAAAACTGTAGATATCTTCCTAAAAGAATATGAAGTTTTAAATGATTTAAGTTTAACTCCATTTAGTGATATTGAATTATCAAAATTCTACATTTTAGATTAATCTGAAATGAAAGAAAGAATTGAATTTCAATCTAAAAATTCTAATGATATAGCTACTATATTTTTTCGTAAAAGTCCTTATAAGACTACTGTTTACAGAAGTTACTTAAAAATTGATGAACTATTATCAAATTTAGGTGGAATTTAATAGATATTCTTTTTTTTTCTTGGTATTATTCTATCACTCTATAACAGATTCTAATGTATCATTTTTAAGTTAAGTTTAAGTACTTGTTGAATTAGCTAATAAATTGTATGAATTTTCGTTAATACAATTACAACATGAAAAAATTCATGAAGAAAATTTAGAATAGATAAATCATTTAACAACAGAAAGATAAGAAGATTTAAGAACTAGAAGATTGACTGATTAAGATTTAGAGATTAAACTTGTTAATCCTAGTTAAATTAAACAAAAGGAAAAAAATGGAATATTAAAATTTGGTTTAAGATAATAAGAAGAAGATTAAGAAATTAATTATTAAGATGATGAAGATAAAAATGTAAAAGAAGTAAGATGCAGATACTAAAGAACATCAACAAGATTTATTAGAAATCCTTTTGGAAATAAAACCAGACCAGAAAATGGTCTATAATATTTCAAATAATAAATTATTACAATTATTAATAGATCTTAACCAATTTTTTTAAGTTTTAGCATGATTATCAATTTCATTACTTGTAATTAGTGTTGTGCAAATAAAAAAAATATTTAATTAATGAATAAAGCAATGTATATTTTGTATTTCATTTTAGAGACTAAATAACAGATTAAATAGATTTATTTAATATATTAACTAAATTAAATGAATTAGACAAAATGAAAGAAGTTATTTTTACACCTGAACAATTATTAGTATTTAATTTTACCCCTAAACCTATGATATCTTTAGATACAACAAAAAAAACAATAAATAGATCATATTTTGAGTAGAGATCTAAATGTGATATTGAAATTTAGTAATATAATACATATCTATCAAGATCTAATCAAAAACAATAAAATAAATATGAAAATAGATTACCTTCTCAAAGAGGAATGCATTTAAGAGGAGATGCTTAATTGTATTAGGATATATATAATGTAAAGTTAATTCTAATAATAAATTAGGCATATGATGAAATTCTTTAAGATTAATAAGAGAATATTATCAATAAACAATTAATAAAAAAGTTAGGTCCTGAAGTTTAAGCTATATTTAAATTGTCCAAATTTATTGATTAATAAAAATTATCTGCAAGAACATAAAAAAGGAAAAATTAAATACAGTATAATGAACCTCCTAGTATTGATTGATTTTGATGATATTAGCTCCATTTATTTTTATCTTTCTCAACTCTAAACATCATTTTAATATTTTATCTAAAGTTTTAATTTATTATAATATTAAATGAAAAACAAAAATTATAAAAAAATAACTTGCAAAACGGAAATTCAATATACATTATAAAAATCTAAAAATGAGATAATGCTTCTAGCCAATAGGATTTTTAATGAGTAGGTAAAGCTCATTTATAGTTAGCTTAAAAGATTGCACAACTTTAATCATTAAATTCAGTTATTTGTATTTATATTAATATTTTCATGTGGCTCATTTAAAAAAACCTTGAAATATTTATTTTTTTTTATAAAGAAAAAATACGATTCAATAGTTTAACTAAATTAGATAAGATTAGTTAAACTATTGAGGATTTCTTTTGAAATTTAAATAGGATTACTCAAGCAAATATAATTTTATATAAAAATGGAGTATATCAATTCAATATTATTAGTAATAATATATATTTTATCAACAGATATATAATAAATAAAGATTTGCATTATTTAATTAAATAATTTTAGAGTAATTTAACAAACCTAGTTATATTCTAAGAAATAAGAGATTTGTATTAAAATTATTTACAATTTAAGATATAAATTTTAAATATAATAAGAGTACTAATCATTCAAGATTGTTTCAATTTAGTAATTATATTTTAATTTAATCTATTAATCAATTAATCTAAAAATTAAAGTATAAGAAAATGATCAATGGATCTTAATTATATTTTTAATATTATATATTATCCAATTTATATGCTAGATTATTGATATATATATAAATCAAATATTAAAAAAATATATACAAAATTATTCAACACTACCATATAAAGTTTAGTATTAGTCAATATACCAAATTTAATTGTATTAATTCGTATTTATTGAATTTCTATGACTAGAAGGTTCATACTTAATTAGTAGATATTAAAAAGAAGAAAAGGTAATTTTATTAACTAAAATAATTAATTGTGATAATTTGTGAGTTTATTCTATTTATTTTCATTCTTATAGGAATGATGCCGAAAGAAATAGTAATATATTGTTATTTCATGTATTTATTGTATTGTACTTAAATATTATTGCTCATTATTTTCTTTAGACTTTCTTGCTTGCTCCTCTTTTTTAATAGAAAACATCATCTCTTCTAAATTCAAATTCTAAATCTCTAGTTGTTAATAATTTATAGACAGCTTTGACGGCATCAAGTCTAGGCTCTAATTCTGCTTTGTCTTATTCATCCAAGAAGCTTTAATTATTTACTAATCTTTACATTCTATAGAATTTAGTGCCATCAACTCTAACTCTTGTTCTTCTACCTAAAATGAATGTTGGTGCAACAAGATCTTCAAGAATTGAATCATATACTGAGGTAAGTGTTCTTGAATTTGGTCTTGTTTATGATCTGTGACTCTTGACCCATTTACTTTCAATTGTTCTTTTGGCAACAACAAGAATTGTTGCTTTAAGTCTCTTTTCTAATTCTGGTAATAATTTTGAGCTATTTTTATTTTCAGATTTAGAGTACCTAACCTTATTGAAAACGGATAAGCAAGGATGAGGAATATATACCAAATAAACTTGCTTCTTGGCATTAATTTTAGCTGTATAATCAACTACTGATGAAAGTTTAAGATTCTTAGCATCAGCTATTGATTGTTCAATTTAAGTCAATGCAACACCAACTTATTATTCCAAATTAGATAACTTATAATCAAACAAATGATTTACTTCTGTCTTTTTCCAAAACTTATTAGCTGCCATTCCTGATAAAAATTTGATTTTTTATTTAAATCTTTTTATTAATAATTCAGACAACCTTCTTTTACAACAATCTACACTAATTATCTTATTTATACTCTCATATCATTTAAATTGATTTACAATTATTGAAATTATAGATTTTTATACTTTAAAATCTCTATGTTATTAAATAGATATTCTATTTTATACATAATCATAACTAAATTAGTAAAAAATACTATTAAATGTTGTAATTAATTCTTTAAAGAAGTGAAATCATATTATAAATATATAAATGAACTTAATTTAATTTAATTTAACCCTATCAATGAATTTTATCTCATTTATATTGTTTTAATTATTTATTAGTCCTTATAGCTATATTTAATGAAGTTTTAAACAAAAAAATCATTTTGTTAATCTTTCATATAGATAGAATGTAATAATTAAATTTATGTGGAATTAACAAAATTATAACTTGAATTTAATAGATGTATTTTTTTCGAAAAGAAATTTAAATAAATTTAAAGAAATTAAAAAATGGAAATAAAAAAATTTTTATTTTAATTCGAAACTTCTAGAAATAAAATTTGAGTATAAATTAAGTTCGATTCACAGATAAATTTTAAGTTTAAAATTAAATAATGGCAACAGAGTAAAAGAAAGAAGAGTAATTCCACTTCAATGCAGATATCCAATAATTGATGGGTTTAATTATCAACACATTCTATTCAAACAAAGAAATTTTCTTGAGAGAATTGATCTCTAATGCTTCAGATGCTTTAGATAAGATTAGATATAAGTCTATTACAGACCCAGACAGTGCTGGCTTGAACGTTGAACCAAATTTCAAGATCAAAATCATCCCAGACAAGAATAACAATACTTTGACCATTTAGGATACAGGTATTGGTATGACAAGAGATGAAATGATCAACAACTTGGGTACTATTGCAAAGTCAGGTACTAAGGCCTTCATGGAAGCTTTGAGTTCAGGAGCTGATATTTCTATGATTGGACAATTTGGTGTCGGTTTCTACTCTGCTTATTTGGTTGCTGATAAGGTTGTTGTTATCTCAAAGGCTGTTGGTGAATAATAATACAGATGGGAATCATAAGCTGGTGGTACATTCTTTGTCTATGATGATTCTGAAAACCCAGTCTAATTGACAAGAGGTTCAATCATCATCTTACAAATGAAATAAGATAACTTAGAATTCTTAGAAGAAAAGAGAATCAAGGATTTGGTTAAGAAACATTCAGAATTCATTGGATTCCCAATTGAATTATAAATTGAAAAAACAACAGAAAAGGAAGTCAGTGATGATGAAGATGAAAATAAGGAAAAGAAAGCTGAAGAAGGTGAAGTCTAAGAAGAAAAAGACAAAGCTGAAAAGAAGAAGAAGAAGATCAAGGAAGTCAGTACTGAATTCGAATAAGTTAATAAGAACAAGCCTTTATGGATGAAGAAATAAGAAGAAGTCACCAAAGAAGAATATGCTAACTTCTATAAATAATTGACTAACGATTGGGAAGAACATTTGTCAGTCAAATAATTCTCAGTTGAAGGAGGTTTGGAATTCAAGGCAGTTCTCTTCATTCCAAAGAGAGCACCATTCGATTTATTTGAAACAAAGAAGAAGAAGAACAATATTAAATTATATGTCAGAAGAGTATTCATTATGGATGACTGTGAAGAATTGATCCCTGAATATTTGGGATTTGTTAAGGGAGTTGTTGATTCTGAAGACTTACCATTAAATATTTCAAGAGAATTCTTGTAACACAACAAGATCTTGAAAGTCATTAAGAAGAACATTACCAAGAAATGTATTGAAATGATCACAGAAATCTGTGAAAATGCTGAAGATTATAAGAAATTCTATGAATAATTTTCAAAGAATCTTAAATTAGGTATCCATGAAGATTCAGCCAATAGAACAAAATTGAGTGAATTCCTCAGATTCCATACATCAAAGAGTGGTGAAGAATTAATTTCACTTAAAGATTATGTTGGAAGAATGAAGGAAGGATAAAAGGATATCTTCTTCATTACAGGAGAATCTAAAGCTTCAGTTGCTGCATCACCATTTGTTGAAGCTTTGAAAAAGAAGGATTATGAAGTCCTTTATATGATTGACCCAATTGATGAATATGTCATCTAATAATTGAAGGAATTTGATGGAAAGAAATTAAAGAATTGCACAAAGGAAGGATTAGATTTAGATTAAACTGAAGATGAAAAGAAGAAATTCGAAGAATAAAAATCAGCATTTGAAGGATTATGTAAATTGATCAAGGAAATCTTGGGAGACAAGGTTGAAAAGGTCTAATTAGGATAAAGATTAGATTTATCACCATGTGTTTTGGTTACAGGAGAATATGGATGGTCAGCCAATATGGAAAGAATCATGAAAGCTTAAGCTTTGAGAGATCCATCAATGAGCAGCTATATGATGTCAAAGAAGACATTAGAAATCAATGCAAATCACCCAATTCTTACTGAATTAAAGAAGAAATCAGATAAAGATAAGAGTGATAAAACAGTTAAAGATCTCATTTGGTTACTCTATGAAACAGCTCTTCTCACTTCTGGATTCAGTCTTGATGACCCAACTCATTTCGCTAACAGAATCCATAAAATGATCAAACTCGGTTTATCCATTGATGATGCTGGTATTGAAGAAGAAGATGAAAAACTTCCATAATTAGAGGTATTATTAATAATTTATATTTTTCTTAGAAAAAAGAAGATGCCAACACCGAAGCCACCAAATCAAAGATGGAAGAAGTTGATTGATTTATGTTCATTGTGTGTTTTAAATATACAGTAATTTAACACTTAATAATTCTAACATAATAATTTTGATTATTATGAGTACATAAATTTTATTTATTTAATCTAATGGGTTGTCAAGTATCCAATATTTCTACTTATATGTCATATTCGACCAAGGTTCAGGAAGCTAAACAAGGATAATCTGAAATTAGAAGAAATGTGAAATATACTAATTAATTACTCACCATTCCTGAACAAGGAGTTATGAATTTACAAGATTTATTTTTGAAGAGTGCAGATAAATATGCTTTCAAATAATGCTTAGGTTCTTTTATTGGAAATGATTTCTCTTTCATGACTTATTCATAAGTTTAAGAAGAAGCTATTTATTTAGGCAGTGGGTACCTAAGAATTAAAGATAATTTAGTATTAAAACATGGGGTCTGGCAAATGAAGTTAATGAATATATGAATTATAAAATGAAGTTGATAGGAGTTTTTGGCAAAAATAGAAGAGAATGGGTGATCCTTGATATTGCAAATATTCTCTATGGATATACTATGGTTCCTTTTTATGATACTTTGGGTAAAATTAGTTTATATTGATATCTAGGTCCTGATTCAATTCCATTCATTCTAGGTCAGACTAATATTGAAACTATGTTCTTAAGTGCTGATGCAACCAAATCAATACTAAAATGTAAGGAGAAATACAAATTATAAAATTTGGTTTTATTTGATTAACTTACTGAAGAGCTAGAAAGAGTAATACTATCTGTGCAAATTAGGAATTGAAAAATAAAGGCTATAAATTATTTAGATATGAAGATGTTGTATAAAATGGCAAATCTCAAATTTAACCACTAACTTAAATTTATCCAGAAACTATTTATACAATCTGTTATACTTCAGGAACTACTGGGAATCCAAAAGGGGCTTTGATAACACATGCCAATTTTGTGTCTGCTGTAGCCAGTACATAAGTTACAGATGCATAAATAAATGAGAATGATGTTCATCTATCCTATTTGCCATTACCTCATGTTATGGAAAGATTAATAATAATATCATTGTTATATGTTGGAGCATAAATAGGGTATTTACATATTTAAATTTCTAGATTTTATAGAGGTGATCCAAATTTATTAAAAGAAGATATTTTAAAATTAAGACCTACTATTTTTGTATCAGTACCTAGGCTTTACAATAAATTCTATGATGGAATTAAAGCTAAAATGGCAGAGGTAACATGTTTAAAAAAAGCATTTCTTGATTAAGCTATAAAATCTAAATTATCAAGTCTAAGATCATAAGCAACATACACAAATTCATTATATGATAAGGTTTTTGAAGGGGTAAAATAATTATTTGGAGGTAGATGTAGATTAATGATCACTGGATCTGCACCAATTTAATAAGATGTAATCGATTTTTTAAAGATTGCTGTTTGTTGTCCTATTTTAGAAGGTTATGGCTAAACTGAATCATCTGCTCTTTCATTTTCAACAGCTAGATGGGATCCAGTATCATCGCATTTAGGTGGACCAGCAGCTAATACTGAATTTAAATTAGTAGATGTTCCTGAAATGAATTATACTGCCAATGATATTATAACAATTCATAAAGGAGAAAAAGAGGAAAAATTGGCTATTTCCAGAGGTGAAATATGTTTAAGAGGACCTGGTGTTTTTGTAGGTTATTATAAGGATCCATAAAAAACAGCAGAGGTATTAGATTCAGAAGGATGGTTACATACAGGGGATATTGGAATGATTACTGAATAAGGAGGCGTAAAAATTATTGATCGAAAGAAAAATATTTTCAAATTATCTCAAGGAGAGTATATTGCACCAGAGAAAATTGAGTCAATTTACAATAGAGTTTAAGGAGTAGCAGAAAGTTTTGTTTATGGAGACTCTCTATAAAATTAAATTGTAGCAATTATAGTCCCTTAATATGATTATATATAGAAATAAGCAACTTCAATGTAAATTCAAGGAGGATTTGAAGAGTTATGTTAAAATCAAAAGATAATTAATTTATTTAAACAAAATATTGAGGCATTTGGAAAATAAAATTAACTTAATTCATTAGAAATTGTAATTTATTATAAATAAAATTAGACAAAATTAATCTATTTAGAACCTTAACCATTATAAAATTTAGGATGTCTCACTTCCACTTTAAAATTGTAAAGACATATTGCCAAATAAGTGTTTGCTAAATAAATTGAAAATTTATATAAATAAGAAGTTTAATGAAGAAAAGAATTATATATATATTTTGTAAAATTAAATAATCAAACTTAATAATCAACTTAAGACTCTCATTATTAAACTTTTAAGTATGGGTGTTGTTCACCCTAGTATTTTTTTAGAAGTGTGTAATAAAAACGATTCTTAACTTAATTTTCCTAAAAATAGAAATTTTATATTACCGATCTATTTTTAAGCAATTTAGCAATTACAGCCCATCTAGCTCCGCCTTTATTATATTCTTCTAAAATGATTTTATCTTCCTCTTATTACCATTCATCATGTGTAATTGATGGGTCTATTTAATTTACATATCTATCACGCACTTATTTTGAAGTTCGACCTGGTAATCCTAAAAAATTACTAATATATGTACTTTCACTTATTTTTATCCATTATTTTCCAAATTCTTCATAAGCTTCTATTAAGATTTGATCTTCACTTGAAGTCCATTTCTTTTTTGTTCTTTTTTCTTAATCTTATAATTTTCTGTATTTTTGAGAACATTATGAGATATTTCTACCTTTGAGATGTTGAATGATTTATTTCCAATTTCCTTTGTACTTTTTATAATAAGAAATTAGATTATTTATTTCTTTTTAAGTCCATAATTATCCTTTTCCTCTAACAATTCCACTAGCGTTAGTATGATATTCATCTTTAGAAAGTATAGTTTGATCTTTTTCACTCTCCGAATAGAGTTCTGTCTTGGGGATTTCTTATAAAGCCGAGGAATTGAATTGGTATGGAAAATAATAAGGAACAAAAAAGTAAATAGGATTTGGTTAATTGATGTACATTGAAATTTATAAACCTAAAAATAAATGTTCTATAATTAAGTGTGAATGTATAGAATAGTCTATAAATCAAGTTAAGCAATATTGATAATTTAATTAAACAATATGAAAACAATTTATCAATACACCTTGAGTTTCAATAATTGTAATGGAATCTCTTAAGATGATTATTTAAAAACTTTGATGAGATCATCTTTGAGTTTATAATTTAAATCTCTTGGTTCTATAAAGCTTAAAGCTTCTCCCTTTTTGCCAGCTCTACCAGTTCTACCAATTCTATGGATATAATCTTCAATATTTTCAGGGAAATCATAATTAATCTAAATATTTATATATAATGATTACCACAATATCTACATCTGAAACATCTAATCCTCTTGAGGCTAAATTAGTTGTAATTAAACAACTAACTTTTCCATTTCTAAAATCTTACATAATATAATCTCTTTAATTTTATTTTAAATCTCCATGTAAATATCTAGCATTAATACCATGTTATGATAATCTATATTCAAGCTTTTATGTGTCTATTTTCTTTTAACAAAACACCAAAACCTTTTTATCTTTTATTTGATTGAAATATTCAATTAATTATTCAAACTTATTTCCACCAGCAATTATTACACTTTAGGTGATATTCTTATTAACAGATAAACCTCTCTCTCCTAATTATAAGAAAATTGGATCTTGACTACATAAACTATTTGCTAATCTTTAAACTTCTTAAGGCCATGTTGCACTAAAAAATAATGTTTATCTATCTTTTCTGACTTCTTTCAATACATCTCTAATTTAATCTTCAAAACCCATATCAAGCATTCTATCTGCTTCATCCAAAACTACTTAAGTAATTGATTTTAAAGGTAATCCATCTTTTATAAAATCTAATAATCGACCTGGAGTAGCAATTATTATTTTTGGAGTTTCTGGCCTTGCAAATCTATTAGATTTTCCTAATAAACTAACATATTAATTAGGTTTAGGGACACCTCCATATAAACAACAAGTTTTTGCAAATAGATCATATTAAGTTTAAATTTGTTAAGCTAGTTCTCTAGTTGGAGCTAAAACCAAAATTCTTGGACCATTGATAGGTGGTTATGCTTGCATATGCATGATTCCAGGTAAAGCATAGGCAAGTGTTTTGCCTGATCCTGTTTCAGCTATTGCTATTACATCATGGCCATCAAAAATTAATGGCATTATTGCTTGTTGAATTGATGAAGGAGATGTTATGTTTCTTGTTTTTAAAGCTTCCTAAAGATTTTAAGGTAGAAAATTGAAATCTTAGGCAATATTAAAAACTTTCCCATGAATTTTGTTTGCTTTTATAAAATTAATAACCTCATCTGTAGGTGCAATAGGTATGAGTTTTAATTATTTATTTATCTCATTTTGTTACTCTTACTTTAATGCCTCACAGTGTCGAGCAAATTCACCAAATGATATATGAGACCTTGAATGGTAGGATCCTTAAAATTAAGATCTTGATGATTGTGATCTAAACCTGTTGGTATTAGAGAAACTGTATATAGAACCTCTGAATCCCAAAGGACAAAAGAATTAAATAAGTGCTTTTCTAAGTGGATTATTTATCATTAATATAATTTAATAAAATTTGTTATTTGAAAAATTTCTAATTAAACTTAATATTAATCAAAACTCAAAATATCTTTGAAAATTAAATCTCTAAAGATTTCTTTATTTTTTCTCTGTTTCTCATCTTTTTCTATATTTATAATATATTATAAAAAAATTTAATAATTATTTTTATAAAAATGTTTTACACTTTAACAATAGAATAAAGAGATCGCCGTAAGAAGGATAAAAAAGCAAATTAAGTTAATTGTCCACAATGTCCAGCTTCTTTATAAGGACTTTTAAAATCTAAAGCATTTTGGTATTTAATTTGAATACACTTTATAGTATTTTTTGTTTAAATTATGTTTGCAAAACTCATATAGTGAAAAAACGAAAAGATCCTTTGATTGATGATAAAATTGGTAAAATATGTAAAGAATGTGAAGATGCAATTCTATTTTAAAAAATTATGTCAAAGGTATATGTAATTCTATAAAAATTCAGCATTAAAAAAAAGAATAGGAATTGAAAGAATAGTATTAAGAATTACAAAATACTTTGGATAATGTTAATAGTTAATTATAAGATTTGTTATCTTAAGAATAAACAATTAAATATACAATAGAAAAGGGCTAAAAAGAATTTGAGAAAAAAGAGCAATAAACTAAATAAAATATTAAAGAAGCAGAAGATAGATAGGATTAATGTAATTAGGAAAGCCTTTAATTAAGCCAATAATATCGTAAGTTAGTGGAGGAAAAATAGACTAAAGAGAAAGAAAAATAAGCATTACAAGAAAAACATGAAAATATGTAAAAGTCTATAATATAATTAGTTAATAATAGGAACAATAAATTTTAATTGAAATTTAGGAAATTTAAGAAAATATTAAAACAGTAAATGAGACTATCAGCAATGTTACTTAAGAAATCGCAAGAATTAATTATAATTAAAAATCTGAAGAGAAAGAAAAATAAAGTCTATTTGCCCGATATACATAAAGTGGTGTTGGCACAATTCAAATTGATTCTAAATAAGTATCTGAAATAATTCCAAGACCAACAATTTAAAAAAATAAAAAATAAATACTTGATCAACCAGATAGAGGAGAAGGATTTTGTTGTATGAGTATTATTCCTAGTAATTCTAAAAAGAAAAAGGGATGATTTTACTAAATTTATCTACTTTTGTATTTTTATGTATATTCATCAAAATTTTGCTTCAGATTTGCAATTTGTTTCAGATTTGCAATTTGCTAATGAGGAATGTTTCTATTTTATATCAATTGTAAAAACAGCATTTCTTTCTTATCCTTATTCACTAATACAGACATCATCTATTGATATTAAGTCTAAAGTATTCTTTCTCATTTTTAATAAATCTACTATTGTTTTATCTATAGAATTTAGTAATCTAACATTGATTGGATTATCTAAATTTTCTACTATTTCTTTAAAAGCATTTTAGGCATCTACAGCTCTCTAAAAGTCACTTTTCATAGGTTTTAATATCGAATAATAATGTTAATTTATGTTAAATTATTTAGAATTTGGATCTAATGGAATTGTAGGTTTTTAAAGATAATCGAAAACTTTAATCTAAGATTCAGTTAATAAGATCATTTTCAATTTATCTATTTCCTGTAATTTCTTCATTATATATAAAATATCCATTTACTTTATTATTTTTTTAACAGAATATTCAATTTGAAGACTTTTATAATTTTTGGAACTAAATGAAATATATAATTTACTTAACAAAGCAACTTATGAAATACAAGTAATCAGTCCATTTCATTTTTAACTTTTTTTAAATACTCTAAAAATATTATTTAATAGAAAATGATATAGCTTTAGTTAATTATTATTTAGCTTCTTCTTTAGATTGAGGATCTACAACTAGAGAATCTATAACTTCCATCTGTTTCTTCTTTATTTTTATAGATTATAATCGTTAAAATGCTTTTTTTTTATTTTCAACAAATAATCCTTCTCTAGTAGATTATAATTATTTTCTTGTCATTAATTCTTGTTATCCTTCTTGATTTTATTCTTCATCTCTTTAAATTGTAGTTTTCTTCTTCTTTTCTTGCTCAAATTCAAATAATGAATTCAAAATTCTAACATAATATGATAGCATATTTATAGGTTTCTATATAAGAAAGGCTATAGTAAAAAATACTTACCAAAGTCCTCCCATTTAACTTAGAATAATTTGAATTTTAGTGTAGCTTCTATAATATTATTATTCAATTTAATCTAATCGTATTACAACATTCATTATTAAGTCACTCTCATTTAAATCAATCATTTCTGTATGTCTTTTATATCTTAAAGTTTTTTGAATTTAGTAATCTTCAGTTATAAGACCTAGATCTGTAAATACTGTTATTGGCTACATATAAAAAGAAATTTCTTTAAAAATCTTACTAGATATTGTAGTGAAAATATCTTCACCTTTTGATATAAAAGGCTTTTCTTCATTTTTCACATCTATAACATATGAAGACATTTAAAGAGAAAAATAGTTTTATTCTAACAATTATTTAATTTCATCTCTAGGTTTACATTCTTTTGTTTTTTTTGTTTATTCATTGCACATTTTGAATTAGAATAATATAAAACTATAGGCTGAAGAATCAAAGGTTCCTTCTATATTTATCTCATTGATTTTATTCCAATCAATACAGTAATTAGTAGGTAAATTTAAATGAGAAAAATATTCTGATAATTCAACTTATCGAATGAGTTCTGGAGTACAGGAAGTTAAAGGAAGATCTTATGAAGTCCATTCATCAACTTTTTGATTATCAACACTAAAAATTTAATTAAATATAATACATTTTAGTTGTTTTTGTTGTAATTTGTGCTTCTACAACATAAACTGATTCATCTATATATGTAGCATAATTTGGTGATTAAATAGCGAATGTTAAGGTAAAATTTTATTCGTTAAATTTGAATTATTCTGGTTATGCATGATAGACCTCAGTTGTTAGTGAAGTTGGATTATTTCTTTGACCCAAAGTATATAAATTAACAATAAGTAGGTAAATGAAAAAAGAGATCAATGCCAAAGTTAGACAGGCTCCAAATAAGGTTTTATGTCCCTCCTCTTATTTTATCAATAATTGAACAGGCTATGAAAAAATATCCACCTTTTTGAGGCTTTTCAGTGCCTTTCTCTAAAAATTAATAATCATTTTTATTATAATTAAATATTTAGATTAATTAAGAATGAAATATTTATTAAGTACTTGTGATTCAATAGTTTGATTACACAATGATCATTTTATTACAAAATGTATTAGATGTATTAAATATCCAAATAGTATATTGTCAGGATCCTAATAATAAGAATATAAAACTTAATTACGTTCTTATATAAATTAATAATTATAATGATTGTTATTTGAATATTATTTTCAAAAACAATACATTGTTCAAATAATTAATCAAAACTAGGTAAAAAGGAATGATTTATTTAAATTTTTCTAAAATCATCCTTACTACTTAATTTAAAGAATGGCAATAAAAAATATAACTGTAAAGATGTTATATTTAAAAAATAAGTTCTTTAGAATTATTTCGATTAGAAATAAGGTTTCAAATATTTGATTTGTTACATTCTCATTTTCCATTTCATCCTTCATTTATTGATCTTCTACCTATAATAAAGATATATACTTCTATTTACTCATAAATTAATCATTTATTTCTTCAAAATGGTCTCAACTGAAAGAACTAAGAAATATCTTCTTTATTATTTAATAAATATAGAAATAATAATAATTTGGAGAAAAAATAATTTATTTCTCTATTATGTTTAAATAATATGGTTGAAGTAATAAATTTGAATTTATGATATTCCTCTATTATATAAATATATATTATTTTAATTTATGGATGTAGTATGTAAATTTAAAATAATTGATTTTTTATTGAAATAATTTAAGATTTATCTGTGATTGATTACTTTTATGTTTGTAATTAATAAAGAAAGCATCACTTAGATGAATATTTAAATATTTAAATATAATTATACTAACAACAATATATTAATGAGATTGATAAGTAAACAAAAATATTATAGGAATCAAAAGATATATTATATGAAATGCTTAATTAATAAATATTTTTTGCCAACATTGAATAATGTACTATTAATAATATAATTGAATCATTCCTTTAAAGCAAACTTTCTCAAAGGGAAATTATTTTATCTCTTCCATTATCTTACGGTCTTTTGGGCTAGAAATATATTATGCTAAACTTTACCTCTTTCACTTCTAGTTAATCTTTATCTAATTGCTCTTGTTTTTTTTCCTCTAAGATCAACAGGTAGATTTGAAGCATTCTTTGTAGTTGATTTAACTTAATTTCTTCTTTATTCATTGATGACTGTTAAATATTTTGCAATTCTCTTTCTAACAAGCTAAATTATATTAATTATGATCTTACTCCGATTCTGCCAAGTTTTTAAGCATTACCTGCTGAAACTTTAACTGTTCTCAATTGAATGAGTTCACCTTTGAGTTTTTCTAAATCCTTTAAGAGATCTTCTGGCTTTTATTCTCTGAGCTTTCTAACTTTGAACTTTTGAGACATATTTTAAAAAAGGATTTAATTTTTTATTAAATATGGGGAATTGTTTCAATTAAGAAGAAACCCATAATTCATCTGTAAAAAGAATTAAAAAAATTGAGAGTGGCATAAGTTAAGCTTTATAAGATACAGATGGAGGAAAGATTAGTTTAAAAGAATTTTTAAGCTAAGGAGAGATTGGGAGGGTTTTATACTGTTTTAATTTAAGGGTTAATTTGGTAAAGTACTTAAAGTCAGAATGAAAAACAATCAAAGAGAATATGCTATGAAGGTTATCAAGAAATAAGACATTATAAATTATGGATTGGTAGAACATACGATGTTAGAAAAAAACGTGTTAGAATATAGTAACAATCCATTTGTGATCAAATTATAATACTCTTTTCAAACAGAACATAAACTATATTTAGTCATGGAGTATTTAAATACATTTTACATAAAAGATTAGTAAATGGTGGATAACTATTAAAGATAATTAATAGATAACCGCAAAAAAGATTGTCATTATATCAAGCTTAATTTTGCACAGCAGAAGTATTATTAGGTCTTGAATATATGCATGATAAACTTAAAGTGATATATAGAGATTTGAAACCAGAAAACGTTTTAGTCACTGATGATGGCCATCTAAAATTAACCGATTTTGGATTGTCTAAGAAATATGAATCAGATAATATGAAATTCTTTACAGTACTTAAATAAAAACTTATCATAAGTTCAGATGGCTGGTACACCTGAATATCTGGCACCTGAAATAATCAAAAATTCTGGACATAATCATACTGTCGATTGGTGGTGTTTAGGAATCTTTATTTATGAAATGTTGACAGGAAGAACACCCTTTAAAGACAATTCAAACAATATTTTAAATATTGAAAAACAAATAAAGGAAGGTACTATTGAATTTCCAGATTATATAAACGAAGAGTCCTAAGATATTATATTAAAATTATTGAATAAAGATCCAATTTTGAGATTAGGTAATTCCAGAAATTAAGTTAAGGTTATAAATCCATCTAAGATATTAAAGATCATGCATTTCTTCAGAATATAAATTGGGATGACATTGCTAATTTAAGAATTAAATCCCCACTTTTAGGAATAACTCATCTTCAAACTCAACCGAAAACAGATGTTTCAGTTCCTAAAAAGATTCTTGAAACCCCATAGTCTTAAGTAGCACAAACAGAAGAGAATTTTGAAGGTTTTTCTGTTAATCATGAAGAATTTTGAACCTTAATTTTCTTTATGTTATGTTCATTCTTTGTATATTATTATTCATACTGAGATAAAATAAAATTATTAACTCAGTAATAATATTATATTGTAATAAAAATTCTTTATATTGTGTTAATAATGGAATATAATAAAGAAAGTATTGATATTTTGTTTAATATATATATTTTTAATAGACAAATATTTTAGTATATTAAAATGATAATAAATTAATTCATATTACAATGTCTAAATTCATTTCTATATTTAAATTGATTTTTAAGAATGAAATAATTTTTTATTTGTCTAAAGAATAGGCATCTCTTCAATTGAGCAATCTTCTGGAATATCTTCACATTATTATTGAGGTATAGTGCTTTCTTGTAATATTTTTCTTGTCTTTTCAATTATCAATTAAGATGATTTTAGTCGAACTACTGGCTCATTACGTCTTTCTATATATCCGATTAAGTAATTTTATAATGTTGCAATCACATAAGGTTTGTGCTTGTGAATAGATTTCTGAAATAAAATATTGGAGACATCCTAATTTTCATATTGTCTAATCTCCATCTAACCTCCAGGATGTTGTGTTATGAAATCAGTCAGATCATAAATAGCCTTCTTGTATACAAATAATGATAGTTGATTTCTTTTAGCATAAAATTACATCTCTTGTATATCATTAAAATATAAAAGTTGATTCATATTATTTATCATTTCTTAATATCAAGAAAATCATTTTAGATTTCATTTAAATATGAAAAAAGAGGAACTTATTATTATATGAAAAGGTTCCTATTTTATAAAGAAAAACCTTTAGATGAATATTGGATAGATTTTAGATTTGTATCTGAAAGTCTAATAAAAATGTATTTTTATCAAGATTACTACTTCTATATTATCATATATTAATAATTCTAATTATATTAAAATATAATTGATATCAATATCTTTTGTATAAGAATAGTACATTTAATATAAAAAGAAATGAAATGAATTTGGAAAGTGGATTTAAATACTATATTAATTTAGATATTCTGAATTCATTTAAATTTATTAGAGGATAGAGAGTAGATATTTATATATATTAATTCATAATTTTATACAAATATTCTTAGTTTTAAAGTTACTATGTATTTCTAATATTAGTTTTTTATATTTTGTTTATTAATGAATACGTTGAGAAAAAAGAGTGTTATTTAAATGAAATAAATCGACACTCCTTCTACACAATCAACCACTAGAAAGACTTTACAATCTAGATCAAAGAGAGCCAAGACTGAACATAATTATCCTGAAGTGAGTCAATTTGAACCATCTAAAAAAAGGAATAGAGAACAATTATTACCATAAACACATTAATAATATTTAAAAGCAAAAAGAGATATAGAATATACATATCTTATATAATAAAGAAGAAGATAAAAAACATAGCATAATGAAATTCCTTTTGATTTAAAAATGGCTTATATTATTAAAAGATAATCTGTGACTGGAAGAAAAATATTACATAAATCCTCATTTGAAGAAAGTGTATCTTCTCCAATTACAAAAAAGAAATTAGATTCTATATGTGAAGAAACATTCTAACTTCAACCTATTAAAAAAGATCCAATCCTTGAATAAGAATGTTTGGGTTATCCAAGTTTACATTAAGAATGGGATAAAAGATGGGAATCTTTATTTGAGACTTTCTTTGAAATGTAGGCAGTGAAATCAAAAAATATTTCCTAATAAAGTGAGACTCGTAAAGATAGTAGAGTAAAATTTAGCAAAGGTATTGTAATGAAGAATAATTAAAGGCCAATAAATAATAGAATAAATAATGATGAGATATTAGTATTAAAAAGAGAATTATCTAAATAACCTATTTATAGAGATATATAGAAATTGGAACCCATCTTTTAAAAGAACAAATTTTTATCAAGATTTAATGAAATCATAAGAAAAATTATTATTCAGTAATGTTAATTAAGAGAATATTAGCCTGATGAACTTGTATTATCCAACGAGATTAATTGTGATAAAGTATTTGTTATAGTTTTGGGATCATGCAAGGTTGTTATGACTTCATTTAATAAAGATCAAGAAATTTTAGGTAGAATGGTTATTAGATCAATTTATGATGGATACCATATAAATGTTGATAATTTATTAATTGAAAAAAAAATAGAGGATATTAAGAAAATGAATAATTTGTCAGAAGCAAATTTATAATAATATGTTAAGAGTGAAATATATTCATAAGAGAAGTCTGTTGTAATTGAAATTAGTAGAGAAATATATGATAATGTATTAACTTATGCTATTGATGAAGAAATGAGAGAAAAGATTGAATTATTATAAAGGATTAAGATTTTAGGATTTAATAAAGATTTAAGACCTTTGGCTGCAATTTTACATTATCATGAATATAAATTTGGAGATTTAATTATATCAGCTAAATAAGAAATTAGACATTGTTATTTTGTAAAGTCAGGAAGAATTAAAGTAACTATTTGTACTAGAAAATAAAGAGAATTATATAATTACTTAACATAATCTAATTAAATAGATTTATATGATTTTTCAGAAGAAAGTTCAATTGTAAAAACTAGTAAAAATATTGATCATTGTGGTAAAATATTAAGGACAAATAAAAATAGTCATCCTTTTATGGAAATGAATATTCATATTGATATAAAAAGCTTAGAAGTAGGAGATTTCTTTGGAGGATCAAGTCTTCTAACTCAACAAGAAATAATAGCTACAAATAGATATAAGAAAGATAAATTAGCATTGGTTAGTTTGATTGCTTTGACACCTGTAGTAGAATTATATTCAATTGATAGCATGGAATTTGAGACATTACCAGATGGATTTTAACATTAATTAAAAGAATTAAGTTTATCATAGTCAGAATTTGATGATTTTGATGTAGATAAAATTGTTAATGATTATGATTAGTGGTCAATACTTAAGTAAGCATATTATAAAAGTTTAGCTAAAAATTGAATTACAAAAAGCTATTATATATTTTATTTGTATATATATTATTTTTCATGAAATTATTCTCATACATAAATAGATGTAAATTTGATAAATTTGTTAAAAAAGTACAATTTTCATAAATTTAATTGTCAATCTAATTATATTTAGTCTCTTAATAACTTATTAATTTGCACTTTAGAATAAGAATGATATATATCATTGAAAATATATATTTATATAATTTTAGTCTCAGTTAGTAGAAATAAAAATGAGAAAAACTTGCTTTGAGTTTAGTCTAACAAATCAGATTATATGTATTTAATCATTTCATTTATGGATTCAAAATATTTGACAAGCGACATATCGTTTATGTTTTACAATGTCTCTCAATTCCTTTTCACTTAATGAACTTCTGGCACTATGTCTAACTTCATTACCAAATTAAGCACTTTATCTTATGGCATTATTTTGATTAGATTCTTATTTTAGTTAATCGATATTTTCATTGGAATTAGTGTTTTAGATCTAAGATGAAAAAACTACATCGTATTTTCTAAAATATGAGTCTAAAAATACGTTGTTGCTGGTGTTTGAATTGGTTCATAAGCAGGATTAGAACTATTAATATGGGAAATATTTTTACAAGGACTAATATTTATTCATTATTTTATGATTTTAATTATTGAAGGGTAACCTTTAATGAAAAAATATAAGATCTCAAACTCGAATAGACAACCAACTCGAAGTATTGGAGTTTCAAGGATTTCAACAATCCCTGAAATAAGAGATGAATAACCTATAAAGAAAGAATTAAAACATAATGTAATTAGTTTAAAGGAATTGGTTCGTAAGAATGTTGAACGTAAAATGTTAAATACACCAGAACCTCATCTAAAAAGGAAGATAATAATACCAGAAGTCTCATAATAAGAATATAAGTCATAAACAACTCCATCAATCTGTAAATAGAGAGTGATTCATTTATATGCAAAACGAAAACTCTATCTAAAATCATTCAACATTTCACTTTCTTCACTCAAATTAAGTTGAATATTGGATTTATTATAATATGAGTAAATCATTATAATATTTTTATATATAATCTCATTTAATTTATAATAAAATTCTAATATAATAATAATATAAAGATATTTAAAACAATTAATATATTTATGTACAATTTAAATCAATCAGTATCACATTATGAATCTAAATTTTATTTCGTATCATGAAGATTATCTACTTATTGTCTCTTTAACTTTTCATTGATAGAGTAGGAAACAAAATTGCCAAATAATCCAATTCCAAACATTATTATCAAAGTAATAATTGAAGTACTTTCTTTACCAATCTAAAATTCTTAAAATATATTTACTGAAAGTATAAGAATTTCAGGAATAGCTTATAAAAAGTTAAATCCATTTCCAATCAATCCTAAATATGCTATAGTAGATGTTTCACTAACAGGAAAACTAATTTCACATGAAAATTCAAATGTTAATGCTAAAATACTTGAACAAAAACAAACAAAGAAATAACATATATAAAATAGCCAATGAATTTTTAGAACAAGACTTAATATAAGAAATCCATAAAAAAAAGTAGTAGTAGCATTACATATTTATAATACTATTTTATATTTTCCTAACTTTTTTACAGTTGATCCAACTACTACATCTCCTAATAATCCTGCTATTACTCCTACAAGAATTACATTTGATATTTATTCTAAATTATACCCAAATGGTTTAACTACAAATTCCATTTGTACTGTGAGTAATAAGACAGGTCCCAATATTAATGAAAAAGCAAAAGCCAATTTTAAATAATCTGAATTTTTTATTAACATTTTTGCTGCTTTTGTATAATTCTCTCTAATACATTGCTTATAATTTATAAATTATTATATACTTCAGATGCACTATATGAGGGAGGATGTTTAGGTTTAGCCTTAAAGAAAAATAAAGTCGGAACTGTTGTTATAAACATAATTCCTGCTAAAAATGCCATTAATTAAAAGACATATGTTCTACCTTCAGAATAATTATTTAAGGCATCTTATTCCACATCATAATCACCAAATATAAATAATGGTATTTTTATTGATATACCTGTACTTGAATTAAATAAAAGAGCAATAATAACCATAATAATAATCCTATTTTTTGGATAAAACCAATTAGCTGTAAATTTGGATGCAGAAATCAAACGAAAAGGAAATCCAACCAAAGATACTAATTCTCCAAAATAAAGCCACCAAAATGAATAATTAACTAATAATGCCATTAATGATCCAATAAATGTTAGAAGACAACCTTAATTATTTAATACCATATATACCCAATTTGATATTATATTATATTCCGTATTTTTCGCTTAAAATATTTCCTGGAATGATCATTATTGCTGAGAATAGGGTAAAGCTCACACTTAACAATTAGAGCCACCTAAGTTCTCTATCATATGTTTTACGTTTAAGATACTCCATAAATAGTTGAAATTTCTTTTGTGATTGGAGATAATGAAAATCCAAACATTATATTAGAAACCAAAGCTCCTAAAAATAGTGTTAATTAGAAATATCGACTATTTGATTCATAGTAAATATCAGTGCTGTTAGAGTCTAAATTGTCGTCTAATAATTTCATCACTATTATAATTTAATTATTATGATTACGTATGCAAGAACTATCTGAAATTCTAATAAAAATTCAAAAGTTAATTTATGAATAAAAATAATCACAATAATCTTTGAACATAGCTTATAATTCTTTATAACCAGGTTGATCATATAATTATTGCATATCTTCCTTATTAGCCAATCCTAATATACAACAATTAGTTGTCACTTCATATTTTTAATGTTTATCATCAATAGTGATTGCAACATCTACATAATTGAATTATGTAAAATCACAAAATACTACTTATTATTTCTATTAATATAATAATTTATAATTACATTATAAATAGCATCATTATTTTCATAAACTTTTAGATTACTAAATTAATCAATATATAATTAATGTAAAACTGATACTAATATTTTAATTGCTTCTTTATGATTAGGTATTTTATTGAATTATGAATACCATTCATGAATAAGTAATACTCTTTGTACAATAACCTATATATATACATAATCCATTTAAATCATTTTGCTTACTTCAACATTTATTTATCTCTATATAAATTACATTATTACCCAATAGTAACATTAGGTCTCAAATATACTCTATCAGTTACAAATTTAGGATGTCCTGGTAATAAGAATCCTCCTTAAGATGATATTTTCTTTACAAATTATTTATGCTCTACACTAAATGAATTTTTTGTTAAAAATGGTATTTTCTTCATTAAAATAGTTAATATTTAAAAAACTATTTTAGATTTTTATTCAATATCTCGATTATCAAAAATATTCCAATTTTTATTAAATAATCTATTTTTATTACATTCAACAACAAGTAATATGAATACTTCTTTATGGTTCTATCTAAATTTTATATATTAATTACAAATTCATGATCAAATTTATCTATTAATTATTATGCTTCATTTTCATAATATTATTATCTTCTATTTAACCAAACTCTTCTTAAATACTTTTTTAAAACTAATCCAATTCTTATAAACCAAAATGCTCCACTTAACTTTCTTTTTAATTGTAATTTCTCCTCTTCTGTAAATACTTTAGGTTTCTTTGTTTTTATTTTAACTGATGATCTAGTATATTTGCTCACATAACTATCATGCAGAGATCCTTTACTTGTTTTATTTTAATATGATAAATCACGACCTTTATCCTAATATCTATCCCTATGTGAACGATGTCTATGTGGTCTAGAATCTGGTCTATCATTATAATCTTCTGAATAATCACTATAATTTGAATCTCTTCTACTTCTATGATTTTCTCTCTCCCCTTTTTATAAGATCTTTAGAACCAATTTTTTATAAGGATCTACTTTTTTTTTAGGTACTTGATTCTAAGATTGCTAATACATCAAATTTGAAGGCATTTAAAAATAAGGATTCATATACATATAAGGAGGCATAGGTTATAATAAAGGTTATTAAGGTGTAGGTAGATATTGAGGTATTATAATAGGATTTTAAATATGATTGCTTTTAGGTCCAGATTCAATATTATTTATTTATCTTCTTAAAGTTTTCACTTCTTCTAATAATTCAAATGTAATTTAATCTTGATCGGATTTAGCCAATCTAAATTAAGGATTAAATTTAGGTTTTAAAGATTCAGTTTTTGATTCTTTGACTAAGCTTACTAGTTCTTTTAAGGTTTCTTTTTATTCATCTAATTTCTTTCTCAATTCTTGGATTTATTTAGAATCTCTAAAACTATTATTATCTAAATCAGGCAGACGATTTGCTTATTTTGACATTATAAATATATTTTCAAAATATATTACTATAAGAATCAAATTTATTTTTCAACTTCATCAAGAACTTCTTTAGCAGGACAAGGTCTTGGAAATTTAGAATCAAATTCTTTGCAATACATTGTATTATATTATCCTCTGTATGATGGATTTAGTGGTTATAATTGAAGTTTTTTAGTTTGTAATTACTAAGATCTTTCAGTTTCAATTGGTAAATATGAAGATTTAGCTATAGAAGTTGCAGTAAATTTGATATCTGGTGGTGATAAAGGTGATCTAAATTTATTAATAGATATGAATTACTTTTATTAATAGAGTCCTTTTGTACTTTTAACAGGTTCAACATAGAATTCTTAAAATTAATCTCTATAATTGCTTCTTCCTGAAAATGGAAGATTTTAAATTATGGTTGGATTATTTTAAGGCATCAATTATGGTGTATCACCTATTCCCCAATTTTTAAACATATTATTATATGTAGACATTCCTGAAAAAGATCCAAGATTTGTATTATTTGATTTAGGTCCTTTTTGTAATTGTACATTAGATAAATATCCTGGATAATCATGCTATTTTTTTATTATTATCAATATACTTTATAAGTTGTAACTCTTTTTATATCCCCTTCTTATTTAGGGTTTAAGTATAAGTTTTAGTTATAATTTGAACATTTATCAGGAATTTTTTACACAAATTCTTATTAATATATAGATTTATTAAGATGAAGATTTGGTTTGTTTAGACAATTTTTTCCATTACAATGATGTTTACCACAATTACATAATGTACACAAACATTATCCTAATTTAATAAAAATTATCAATTACCTCCAAGATGATCAAAATATTATTAGTATTTGTCATCATCTTGACTATATCGATTTTTTTGATGATTCACTAATTTCTCAAAAACCTTTTATAAATTTTCATTATACTTTTGATTAAGTTTAATTAAACCCTTTTGATGAATTAGAGTTTTTATTAGAACTAGATGATCGTATAATTATTTTTTAAGCAGGCATATTTTATTATTAATAATGGCAATTCACTGAAATTTAAAGAATTTCTTGAATTGTGATTTTTAGTATTATTTTATAAATAATAAATCATATAATCAAATTGTATTAGTATCCAATAATTTTATATTCTCTTCTTAACATATTAATATATTTATATAATTTATTGTAAATCAAACCTATTAAAACTAAACTTATTGATTAAACAATATGAGAAATAATAAAAATTAATTTATTATAAAAAAATATGTTAAACTTTCCTTAAAATGCTAGAGATCATTTCTCTTGTGATTGTGATCCTTGTGAATTTGCTATTACACATGGAGAAGAGATTATACCAAAAAGAGTACCTACTCAAAAACCAATTTAATAAATTCAAGATAAAGATTTAGGATTGCTTTTACGTAAATTATAAGCTCCAAATAAATTAACTAGAAGTGTTAGAATTAGAATACCAGAAACATGTGTTTGTAATGAAGGAGAAATTAAGTTTATTGCATATTATGATGAAAGTGAAGGTTTCATAAAATTTATCTAAAAACCAACATTTCAATAAACAAAATAGTTCATGAATGAAAGAAGACCTCCTGATTCTCTTGCTGTGATAATCAAATATATTGATAGTATAATTGAATTATAATAGACAACATGCAAGTGATGACAGATATGGAGTTTACAATATTGATGATGAAAAGAAAAATTGATCCAATTTGGTCACAAATCTTATATATTCAAAATTTCAATTCAAACAAGAACTATGAATTATAACATTATGAATTCAAACACTAATTTGATTCTAAATATCCAGAATTTGATTAAGCAAGAATAGAAATTTTAATATTGAATGGAGAAATTGCAAGAGCTTCTTCTGATTTTGTACCTATGGTAAGAGAAGAAGCTTATGAGAATTAATTATCATAAGATTAATATTGTAGATATATGGTTTATAAAATGGTTCATTATGCTGATGTTTTTGGAGGTATCTAAATTACAGAAGGGAAATTCAGTTTCCTTAAGAAAACCTTTATTTCAATGGAGAGGATGGAATACATAGATTTAGATAGAAAGGCCTTGTTTGATTCAGAAATTCTGTTGAGAAAGAAAAAAATGATTGATGAAGATATGTTCTAATTTCAAAAATTAATAGATCAAAATGTAAAAAAGGAAAGAGAATATGCATTAAAAGTTTATAGAGAAATATTAGAAATGGATAATGGATTAGATTAATCTTCACATTTACTTAAAAATAAACTATCTGTTATTGGATATGATTTAAAAAAGTATAGTTAAAGCATTTAATCTAATTTTCAATAAGTAATGGTTAGTAAAGATCCAGCTTCAACATTAAAAGAATTAGTCATTGAATAAAAGGTTAATGAAGAAAAATTAACTTCCATTTTAAAACCAAAAAAAGGTGATAAAACTAAAAAGAATATTTGATTTTATTAATTCAATAATAAATTTTATTAAAGTTATGGAACCATAAATCAAAGAATTTGTAAGTACATTACTTAAAACTTAAATTACTGACAATCTAACAATCTCAGACAAAGAGAAAAAATTAAATCATTAAACTGGACTTATGTATATAACATATATCAATTTTTTATAGATGTTTTCTTTAAGGTTATTGTCTTGAAATTGGATTTTAAGTTTAACCTAATATGTAATAAGCAATATCTCACTATCTATATGGTATTAAATACTATGCTGATCCCTTATGTGCACATCAATTAGAGCAATATTATAATAAAAATAAGAATAAGATCTTGGCATCTTTGTAAATAATAATTGTTATGAAATTTTAGTTGTAAATGTCTTTATTATTTACTTATTGATTTGGTTTATGAAATCAAACATTAAAACAAAAAGGTTGAATGTGAAAAATACAATGAAGCTTTATAAGAATTAGCACCTACTCCAGATATACCTTTAAATCAATTAAGCAACTTTCTATAGGCACTTTATCTTTTCAGAGAAAATGAATCATAACAACATTATGATTCTCTTTTATAAAATTATGAATAAATGGGTGCTAAAATACATGCTTATCCTATTCTTATCAAATAATTCACTTAATAAACAAAGAATCCTGATAAATTTCCAGATATCATTTATAAATAATGTTAATTGGTAAATCCAGAACCTTTCTTAAATCAGGTATGTATTCAATATTAACAATAAGATAGTGTTTATATAATATTTCCCTTTATGGGATGATTGATGGTTCACATTTAAACTCTATACGTTAAATAGTTTTCGAATTGAGTTTTCTTCATAGACCATAACCTTATGCTGAAGTGATTGAATAATTATATACAAGATAAACTCAATATGTAATTCATAGAATATTAATATTCTAAAAACGAGCTAAAGTATTAAAGGATCATGAATTATCAGAAGAAGATATCAAATTTATTGACTCTTAAAATTCATTGATTAGTCTATATATGTTAGGTAGAAGACAAAAAGATAAATCAAAGAATTGTTTATTGTGTAAGTCAAAAGAACTACTTAAAAATCCATGGCCAGAAAGCCCATATATTATGTTTGTTTATATGTTCTATTAAGCTAAGTTGGAATTACATCATCAAACCCATGATGGATATACAAAATTACTTGATTAAAATTTATTTGAAGAATGTAAACAATATTATGATAGAAATGTTTTAAATTTTAAGTAAGTTAGGACATTATAATTTTATTCAATTCGAAGAAGATTAGATAAATAAAGAGATAAGATAACATTTAAAAACAAATAGATTTAAGCAATTTTTGATTAGAAGAAAGTACAATAATTGGATCTTTCTAGAGGCAACTTTTAAGTATTATAATAAAGTCAAATTGAATTGAGAAGATCATTCGTAAATTAATCTCCAGAAAAGAAGGGTATAGATGCAATTAAATAAACTTAAAGTATTTATGTTAATAGTGGAAATAAAAGAGTAAATTTCGATAGAACAATTTAAGGACCTTAAATTTTACCATAATTAGAAGAAAAACAAATGTAGAAATCAAGATTTATTGATTTAGAGAATAAAATTAGATATACTAAATTAAATTTGATATCATTTGAAGATATCTCTGAAGTTTAATTTATTAGTAAAAGTAATCGAGATGGATAATTAAGTTTAGGAAAATATTAAGGATAAGTTATATCTATAAAAACATTGGCTTATATGAATTATGATCAGATTAATTAATATTTTAAATTTATTAAAAAGTTTACTAATTTAGAACATTAAAATATTAGAACTATAATTGGATATAATATAGATGATCTTTAAGAATAAGATTTAAGTGGATAGATACGTATCATAACATATAAATATGATTATAATTTAAGAACTTTCTTATAAAAAAATAAGATTTCAACAAAAGAGAAATGGCATATAGCAGTTTAAATTATAGATGCTATTTATTATTTACATTAACATGAAGTAATCTTTTGTAATTTACATCCTAATAATATACTTATTGATGGAGAAACACATTTACCTTTGCTTATTGATTTTGATCTATAATTTGATAGAGAATATTTAGATATAAAATATATGGCTAAATAAGTTATTGAAGAAGAAATGCCATTATTTACTGATAAGACTGACATATATTCAATAGGATGCATATTACTATATTTATTTTTTGGTTGTGAATTTCAATTTCAATAATCATAGTATTTTTATTTATATATTTTATTAGTCATTCCACAACTCTTACTCTAGAAGCTTTCCAAACTTTGAATCCTCATTAATCCACAAATGTTGATTTTCTAATACCTCCTGGTTCAGAGGCTTTATAAGAAAGAGCAAGAGTAATAACATTAAAGTGTTTAAATGGTGAAATTGAATTATTAGATCTGCTTCAACATTTTTATGATTATGTTTGATGATCTATTATATTATATTAATTTATATTATTATTAACAAATGAACTTCAAATAATAACAAACTATATCTAAGTAAAAATCTATTAAAACACTATTATTAAAATTAATTTAAGACACCTAATAGATTGAGATAATAAATAATAAATTCTAATAATGCGAATCATAGAAGAATAATATGAATATTTTAGATTTACTTTTATTAAATACTTAATTATTGAAAGATAGGAACCTTAAATTAGATAAAAACCAAAAATAAATAATATTAAAGGCTTTCCATCTGATTTCTTTTCTATATAATGAGTTTATATTTTAATATCATTTTCCTGGTTCAATTGCACTAGGTTTCTTATTATATTAATTGCTTAATGCATCTATCACTCTATGAATTAATTCATTCCAACTTTAAGGCTTATTATTTTCTAAATGTTAACTCAATTATTCCATCTTTCCTTCCAATACTTAAATTCTTCCATCTTTATAACAATCTCTAGGTTTAGCAATAGCTCTAAATTCATGTTATTCCTCTATAATTTTAGGATAATTCCATAATTCTGGTGGTCTCCTTTAAATAACATAAACATTAGCATTATCTTTTTCTTACAATTTATTAAACATTTAACTTGGATCATTCTATTATACTTAACGTGGACGATTTCTAAAATAATTATATAAAAATACTTTGGAACCATTCCTTCTTTGATTATAACATCTTCTATATCTTATTAAACAGCTTTATTTATATGTCTAATTAATTCAACACATTCTTCAAAATTAGCTTTCATTTAATCTTGAGCATAATATTCCCAAATCCAATATCTACCATATTTTTCAAAATCTATTTTTTCTTAAATTTTCATATTCTCTTCTTCTTTTTTCCTTAAATCATCATCAACTTATCTCTTTTTATCTGGTGACATAGCTGACATAGCAGATTAAGCTTCAAATAAATTTGATTATGCTAAAGGTTATGTTTTTTATTATAATTTTTATTCTTTCAATTCATCTGCTATTTTTCTATCCTTCCATGCTCTCATATATAATATTGTATGATATGTTATTAATTTTGGAATACTTCCTTTTATACAATTATCATCTCTTTTAATAAGAAACTCTTTTGCTTATGCATTAGAATTATAGATAACACTTAAAACCTTAAATGTAAAATTCAATTAATCTCTTTTTAATGCTGTACCCATAAGATGTTCAGCAATCAATTCTGCATCAATCAATTCTTTTACATCTTCAACAAATTGCTATTATTTATTAAAATTCTTACTGTATTTTCCATTAAAGGTGCTTTATAATAATTAATTCCCTTTAACATTAAACAAAGTAAATTGTTTCTCATTTTATCAAAAGCATCTTATAATGGAGTTAAATAAAAAGATTCAATCTTATTTTATTACCATCCTTCATATCCCAATTTATTAAAAATCAATTTAACATTTGGATTACATAAAATAGCTTTTGATTCCAATAATAATCTCTAAGCTTCTTGTAAACATATACAATATTATTCAACATCAGCCTAATTATATATAAATATAAATAACTTTTAATATGAAATCCTTTGTTTATCTTGCTTGACTTGAAGTATTAACAAGATCAAAGAACATCATTTTTTTATTAATTTCTAATAATGCTCTTAAAGGTCCTAAAACAAGCATAAGTTTTTCTTCAATAACTTTATGACTTGATTTAATTAGAATTGGAAGTTTTTTCAAAAAATCATTCAATAAACCTACAAATGCTTTCCTTTCTGCTATATAATTTTCTGCATTAATGTCAAAAAATTTATGATCCTCCAATGCTATATAAATAAATAATTCATATATATATACTTCTAGCAATTTTAGCAAATAATTCTTTTACATGTTTAGCTCTATCTTTATCTTATTTCTCAACTGAATAATAAAATCCATCTAAATATTGTTTCTATACTGTTTTATTTATTTCAACATCCTCAACTGCAAAGAATGCACTTCTTATATGTGCATGTTCAATTTATTTTATTTTTGATTTGCATTTGAATGTCTAACATACTTCAAGTAATTTATCATGATAAATCTATATGAAAGATAATCTATAAAATAATATTTTACTTGCCAATTGCCTGTCAAATCTTTAGAAGTTTCAGATATGTTATTTTCCATGGATTTATATATTATTTATAACTCTGACCAAATTCTGTATTCATCACTTTCTTTCCATTATTCAAATTATTTCTAATTTATTATAATAATTTATTACAGCTTATAATTCAGGATCAATCTTTTTAGCTTTGGGTGGCATAATTAGATATGTTTATATAAAGAAAAATATATATAAATAATAAATATATAATAACTTTAGAACATTTATAAAATATTAAGTTTGAGTAAAGAATGTCTATGTTCAATGTAATTATAATCATTATTGAAATTTATATTTCTTATTCACATTAAAACAATATAATCTTATAAAATATTTAGTTATTTAAAATGGCTAATTCCTCTGTTGTGTTGATATGTATACAAAACCCAGACTTCATCAATATAACAGTGACTCATGTCTATCAAAATTTCATTCAATTTGGCACAATCGAAAAAGTAAGACCTCTTATTATATATAGATACTCATCTTTGAGAGAAATAAGCCAATTTGGAAAGCTTTAGTTCAATTCGATAGTGTCCGATCTGCTTTAAATGCACTTCAATTAAATAATACAATCATGCATGGACTTTCAATATTAGTTTATGAGTCTAATCGTAAGGGTCTTGACTTCCAAGCTAGAAACTAATATGCAAGATGTAGATTCATTATCCTTATTAAGAGACTACACTGCCTAACAAGTTTAAGGTATAGTGCATTCAACTGAGTTACCAAAGACTGATCCAATAAGTAAATGGCTCCCTCATTCTTAAATATTGCCTCCTTAAACTGGAATGCCTCCTATACCAACATAATTTGCAGAAGCTTTGAACTTCGATAAAGCTGATGGTGCATCTGATTATGATTCATAGGAAGAAGCTACAGAAGATAAATAAGAAGAATTGTAAAAAAATTATGATTTATTTCTTAAAAAGGTCCAATCAATTTGTAAAATGTATGGGTGACAATTTAACTTAACTTTTTCAGTTCTCACCAGGATAACGTATTTCTACATCATAACAATTACCTAATAATATACAAGTTGAGAAATAGATCTTTTAATCTGAAATTCTTCCATAAAGTATATCCAATTATTATTTATAACTAGAAAAATTGATTACAAAGGTACTTTATGCCAATTGGTTTGATCCAAAATAAACATCCATGACTATGATTTATAATATTTTTAGTACTTTTGGTAACATCTAAAAGATGATTTACTTTAAGACTAAATGTAATGTTTTAATTGAATATTCAACTGAAGTTAGTGTTAAATTCTTATTGACTAATTTCAATGAAGGAAATCCAACACTTTTTGGTTAAAAATTAAAAGTAATTTAAATAATTAATCTAGGTGTATCCTTCTAATTATGAATTTATTTTCTTTAGAAATTGTGAAGAAGGTTAATTACCAAAGAATACAGAAGAGGAAGAGTTTTATTTAGGAAATGAGGCATCATTTAGATATAAAGATAATAATTTCAAATATTTGGTATCACCTTCTTAATAAATTATGTTAACAAATTTAAAAAAGGAATTCTGTGAAGAAGGTATTATTTATGATACTTTTTCTAAATTTGGATAAATAGAGAAAATTAAGTAATTAATTATATTTAATATACATTTTAGAATATTTTGTGAAGAAAAAAATAAAAACAAATGTCTCATCCGTTATTAAGAGTTAGATTCAGCTATGTAGGCAATGGCAATTATGCATAATTACGAGTATAACAAAAGGAAAATTTAGATTTTTTTTTCAAAAAATAAAACTTGAGTTTTTCTTATTATTTAATGAATTATTCAATTTTGAAATAAATTACATTTCTTTTTGTAAGATCATTTTATTAATGATATCAATAATATCAAAATATTTAAGTGATTGAATATTTAACTTAAAATTAATTTATTAATATTATATCACTAACTATTCTTTTGAGGATAGAAATTTTAACAATTAAGTTAAATATAATTCTTATTTGATTTATATCAATTATTTAACTATAAGTAATAGATTAATTGAATATATATCTAGAATTTATATTTAATAGTAATATAATATCTCATAAATTAATTTCATATTAAACTAAATATATATATATTTATATTAATTTTAAGATCATAAATTATTAATTTTTTATAATTATATAT